CTTCTGTACAAATGGAGTGTTCCCTGTGGTTCCCCATGACTCTTCCATGCAACTCAGTAGGCACAAGTTCTGCATAGTGTTTTCTCAACCACCTCTGCCTCAGCATCTCACCTGGGTTTTGTCACTAAATATTCACTTCCATTAGAATGCTGATTTAAGAAATCTTCCCCTCTAATGACTGCTTATTACATACTGGATTTAGTTATTAGTGCTATTGGTGTTAGGGTAGTGACATGCAGGGTAAGCATGGGGGATTACCTTTGGGACCTGCTCCTTATAGACCAGGGGCAAGCAAACTTCCTGGCCTGAGGGCTGCATCGGGTTTCAGAAATTGTATGGAGGGCCGGATAGGGGAGGGGGTCGTGACCTGGCCCCCACCTCCTATCCGTCCCCCCCCCAGGGGTCCTACCCCATCCAACTCCCTCTGTTACCTGACAGCCCCCCGGGACTCCTGCACATCTACACCCCCCCGCTCCCTGTCCCCTGACTGCCCCCAGACCTCCGCCGACCCATCCAACCCCTCCTCTCATTCCTGACTGCCCCCCCAGGACGACTGCCCTGTCCAACCACCCCTTCTCACTGACTACCCCCGGAACCCCCACCCTTGACTACCCCCTGCCACCCCATCCAACCCCCCTCTCCTTCCTGACTGCCCCCCCGGGACCCCTACTCCCATTCACCCCCCCCCGTTCCCCGCCCTCTGACCGCCCCAACCCCTATGCACACGCTCCCCGGCCGAACTCCCCTGCCCTGTAACCACGCTCCCTGGAGCACCGGTGGCTGGCGGCGCGACAGCTGCGCCACCTGGCTGGAGCTGGGCCACGCCGCCGCCGCGCAGCGCAAAGCACCGGGTCAGTCCGGGCTGTGGAGCCGCGCTGCCCCAGGAGCTCACCCTGCCGCCCAGAGCATGGCGCTGGCGGCGTGGCGAGGTGAGGCTGCGCAGGAGGGGCCGGGGCCTAGCTCAGGGGCCGGGCAGGAGGGTCCCGCGAGCCGTCGTTTGCCCACCCCTGCTATAGACCATTGGTTAATAGCACTGGATTTGACCCTACACACACACATTGCAGAGGAGAACCACATTTTAAAGGAACTATGGAGAACTGGCTCCTTCTGACTCAAGCAAGGCTCTGGGCTGACGGGGAATTCTCTCCACACCAGGACATGCAATGACTGCAGAAAGCTGCTCTAGCCCATTGAGTGAAAATGCGGAAGATTTTCCTGCCCCTAGCCCAACCGGTTCATTTCCCACTTCCCCATGTGCTGTGATGCAGAAGTCCACCATGGAACTGCGGTATGAAAAGCAGCTTTGGGACCTGCCACTCTTTACAGGACAACCTGCACAACCTACTCCCCTGAGGTTAAAATGCATAAATTCAATGATCTTCAGTTATAATGGAAAACAAATGAGTATTTACTTTAATATAGCTATTATATTGTCAGGTCAAATATGCCAGGTGCCAAACATGACTGAATGCATATTCACAACCCACCCAGACAGCTGTACTTCTCCGGGACAGTTTATTTTACAAAGCCCACAATGTAGCCTATGACAGCTGGATATACTAGAGTAATGGGAGCTAACAGAAGCCCTAAAATAGATAAGGGAGGTAGATCATTTTTCTTTGAAAATGGAGCACACTGAATATGGGAATCACAGAGACAAAATAAAAACCAGAGCCGATAATGTTATTTTATAGAGTCTCTTTCCACAGTAGAACCACACTTTCAATCTGCCACTTTAAATCTGGGCAACTTTAACTAATATGCCTTGACTTTTGAAAACACTCCATTTTTGAGAGACTGTGTAACTTGTTTAACTGAGATAGTTACACATTTTATCACCCTTTTTGTATTTTGCATGCCCGCCATTCCTCACCTCAGAAAAATGAGGAAGTCACAGAAATGTGTGTGATTTCCTCAGCCAAATGGCACAGATTTTGCACACTTTAAATGAACCTGGACCAAATTTAGCCTTCAGATAATTACAAAAAACTCCTTTGGGATTTCAATGTAAGCAGGAGTGCTGTATCTAAGGATGGACATTGGTACTATCAGCAAAAAGAAAAGGAGTACTTGTGGCACCTTAGAGACTAACCAATTTATTTGAGCATGAGCTTTCGTGAGCTACAGCTCACTTCATCAGATGCATACCGTGGAAACTGCAGCAGACTTTATATATACACAGAGAATATGAAACAATACCTCCTCCCACCCCACTGTCCTGCTGGTAATAGCTTATCTAAAGTGATCATCAGGTGGGCCATTTCCAGCACAAATCCAGGTTTTCTCACCCTCCACCCCCCCCCACAAATTCACTCTCCTGCTGGTACAATTTGTGAATTTGTGTGGGGGGGTGGAGGGTGAGAAAACCTGGATTTGTGCTGGAAATGGCCCACCTGATGATCACTTTAGATAAGCTATTACCAGCAGGACAGTGGGGTGGGAGGAGGTATTGTTTCATATTCTCTGTGTATATATAAAGTCTGCTGCAGTTTCCACGGTATGCATCTGATGAAGTGAGCTGTAGCTCACGAAAGCTCATGCTCAAATAAATTGGTTAGTCTCTAAGGTGCCACAAGTACTCCTTTTCTTTTTGCGAATACAGACTAACACGGCTGTTACTCTGAAATTGGTACTATCAGGTGGCTCTCCTTTAGATTACTTGAAAAATTTGTGTAATAGGGCACAAAAGTAACAGCAGAATAGGACCCTTAGAATTTACAGAGATTATGCTGTTCTATTTGATGTGCAATCTGCCACTCTGACTTTCAGTAGAATCCCTTGCTGCCATTGCCAACAAAATCTTTTGAAAGAAAAGAAAGAAAACATGGGAAAATTAAAATGTCAAAATTCCAATTTTGCATGTTTCCTAGCCATATGTTACTGACAGAGTTACCAACAAAGATCCTTTTAAAACCTAGAGTGTTACACAGGGTTGTGCAAATTAATAACAACATCCTAAATGACCAAATGTAGGCCTCCAGATCTCAGCAAAGAATACAAGAATAAATGGCTAATGAAGTAGCACTGTATTTTTCTGGGATCAAATTAAAATAAAATAAAATATATATATATATATAAATATATATAAATTATGTTGTCAAAGACAAAACTCTAACCCATTTTAATCTGATTTCTTAAATTATCTTTTTCAATTTAGCCATTAATCTCATCTACCAGCAAAAAAAGTCACACTTCCCTTAATAGTAGAATAAACAGGGAATGAAAAGGATGCTGGAAGTAGAGGCCATTTATTAATATAGCATCAGATTCTGCTTGGCCCTGAAACAGCTGCACAGTACAGTGGTTTTGGAGGACATATTCAGTGTATGGGTGGGCTTGACTTAGATCAGTGAAAAGGCATCAGTTCAGCCTTATGATCAATATAGTAATACAACCACAGCCAGTTACCTAAGGGGAAGAAGGTGGCAGAATAACCCAGCCTAGGGTGAGTCTGGTCGCTTAAATGAAATAAGAACTGGTCTGTGATAGAAAACCTTACCTATCAGGTATTGGGTCTGGGAGGGCAGCATTATCATTCAAGCCTTTTTGATGATGGGAGTCCACATGAACTACAAAGGGAGAATAATAGAATATTTTGCACCTTGGTATCTGCTGGTATCATAAGAACTGTCCTGAGTCATTTCATGAACAAGGGAATATGTTTATGTGTGGAATTAGAGGTGGAATCCTGGACCCAGATTTGGACGCTGTACTCTGGTCTGGGTAGGTTGATTCATGGAAATAATTTCTCACAGACTGCAGGTATGCAGGTATTCAGGAGATTTTCTGAAGTCCAAGGAGAGCGCGAGAGAGAGAGAGTGTGTGTGTTTGTGTGTGTGCGTGCGAGAGATGTAATTAAATGAGCTGCTGATTTCATCATTGGATAGGCAATCTTTGGACATTCTGTGTGGGATGCAAAAGCGGGAAATTTGTCTTTAGATCCATGCATGGATTCGGAAGGATACTGAGAGGAATCGCATGCACAACCAGGTCTTTAGGCACAAAAATTCATTAAGGATTAAATCATGTGGAAGAAGGCAAAAGGCAATGGGGTGTCTCTGTTTCACGGACGGGGCCTTAAACGCTTCTTAGTAACTGGATCCTGAAATCAGGCTTGCTACATTCACTGGATTAAGAATCATTTTTTGCCAGGAACTGTGCTTTGACTTCAGCACCTGAAGAGACTATGCAGGGTGAAAGTCAGCTAAGATATTAAATTTCATGGTTACAATGTTATCAGTGTTAAAAATGATGAAGCCAGGCCATTTCTGCTTATCACATTTTCTTTGTCCTTTCCTGTGGTATGTCAAAAGCAATTATTGTTGATTAATATCTAGGAACTTGTTCATTGGTACAGTAGAACTTTCAGAGTTCCCGACCAGAGTGTATTTGATTTCAGCTGAATGAGACAGACTGGCTTGTTCTTCTAATTTTCTTGTAAATCATCGAACGGTAGAGCTTTACGAGGACAGCAAGTAGCCTACAAATGTATTTCACTGTGTTAGTTTATGGGAAAATAATGCTATGTATGGAGCAAGTGCACTACTGTTAGCCTTATGTTAATCTTGATTTGTGGGATTCCCAAATTCTGCCCTCAAATGACAACACATGGCTTCCATTAATATTTCTTGGAATCCAAAATGTCCATTTAAGGGCAGAATATAGCCATATAATATTATTGAAAACACGTTTTTGTTGTTCTCCAACTTCCTGTTAGTAGTTACTAAAAGCTAACGGCTAGTTTTGATAAAAATCAGCTGAGTTGATTGGTTGGTTGAAGCTGCTGTATAGTAATACGCAATAGCTAAACCTTTTTTGTGTGTTTGGAGAATCTGGGTTCCTACATTTAAAAGTTCACTGATTGTGCTAAGGCAAAGCAAATTTCAAAGCAAACAATTTCCTCTAATTAGAGAGGAAAATGTCAAAGCTGGAGTATTCTCAATGGACTTTCCATTATCATTAAAACTCCTCATCATTAAGTGATACCCCCATTAACTTACTCCCTTCTGTCATTGTTAGTCCTTCTTCTGTGATTGGTTTCCCACAGCCTTTTATAGTACAGGCCCTCACATAGAATTTATACTTGGTGCTCGAGCTCAGGTTTGAAATCCTCCAGCTGAAAGTCGAAGGGTTTGTAATATTGAAGTCATTCAATGCTCCAATCTCATCTGTCTCATTTACTGAAAGAGAAACAATAGAGTTCAGTCAGGCATGGCAGCTAAATGTTACCAAAATGCAAATGTGTCAAGAAAGCTGATGGAGAAGATGCAGTTTACAGTAAGTAGGAAGGATGGTACTTTAAATAAATGTATATCTTACTACCCTGATACATTTGTGAGTCTTCAAATGGGATTTACCATGTCTAAATCAATCAACTACACAATTGGGTATTATGATAGCTGAAAAGGCTCTATGATTCTAGAGATCTAGTTACTGAAAAAAGAGAAAGGCCTGAGTTTTAGAGCTATGCAAAATGTGTGTCTAGAACCCTAAATGCACATTAATTGAGACTGTTCTTGGATTTTCATTTTGCTCCCAAACATCTGCCCATGTCCTTAAACTTTGGTAGGCCTGCAGTCACGATGCAAGTTTATGGGGTGCTTCCAGAAAGTATAGTAGCTGGCTGCTATTTAAGGAATGGCCATTTGAACACCCATAGCTGGCCCTCTCCAAAAATGGAGAGCATCCAACCACCACCCCTATAAAAGTACTACAAAAGTAAGAGTGCAGTTGCCTTAGTAAGGATCAGTGCTGAGCAAAAAGTTCACAACAAACAAGTTCTTTGGCGACGTGTGTTGTATGCCCACTCCATTCTCAACAGAGTACATTGAATTAGTATCCAAACTTACCCCCAGTGTCTGGCTGTACTGGTAACTCATAATCAATAATTCAACATAAACTTTCCTCCCTAAGCTTGGCTGCTCCAGAACCATATCTGTTCTATCTCCTTAGCTCCTTCTGGCCCCAAAGAAACATTTCTATTTCCTTGATCTCCTGGTTACATATCATTGGACCCACCTGATCACGACTCAGCAGTAATTACCCTGACTCTAGATGTAGGGTTTTTACAAACAGGGGGAGAGAATTTGCTGAAGAGAAATCATTAAAAAATCTGAATAAATATTCACCAGAAAAAGTTTGCATTATTTGCCCAGCTGTACCAACTATGTGTGTTTAAAGATTCTAAGCCTATGCACACGACTCATGAATTATCATCACAAATTATTTCTTCTTTGAAGAGTCAGGTGCATTTCTAAAACCAGCTATAAATATTCTATGTGCTGTTTAACTATTGGGTTAACTGTCTGTGAATTTGAAAACATGTATTACATGATTTGATTAGTCTGAGAGTCTTTGAATGTATCATGATTGCACTTTGGGCTTATCTAGACAGAAAAAGAACATGCTGAAATCCTTTTTCCCTGGAAAATGGAATTCGCCTGCCCCCAGCAGGCTAAACTAAAATCTGTAATTCTGGAACATTTTTTCTGTGATGAACAAGTTGTTACTTAAAATTTAAAAGGATTAATTTTAAGTTACTGTCTATTTTAAATAACTTTATATTAAAATAATGTTTGATTTAAATATGATCTATTTGCTAAAAGTCTACATCAAAGTAGAACATGTACTTACTTATCTGATATTGCAAAATGTAGCCAGTAAGGAAGCCATTTGGTTTTCTGGGAAGTCCCCATGACAAAGTGACAGAATCCTTATCTTCGTTTAGTAATCTTAGAAAACGTGGCTGTTCAGGGACTGGAAAACATAGGAATTAGCTTAGTTTCACTGAATGTAGATCATATCTTAGCAGCTGAGTCTCCATACATTCCTGTTAGTATGGCATATAATTTCATCCAATATGTACAATTCTCCATTCTCAGTCAACATATGCTAGATGCTTAGGGTCTGATCCAGCAAGATGCTTGCTAAACACCTTTTGAGAGTCCTCAGCCTTGTTAACTGCCATTTACTGCATAGACTTGGACCCTTCTATTGGATAATCATATTAAACACTTTTTTTAATGCCAGCATAATAATATAGAGTCACACAGAGTTTTTAGTAGAATTAATTGGTCTGGTTTCAAGGAAGATGTTCGTTTAATTTCTTCCATCCCCATATTTTAATTTTTCTTACCTTCTTCTGGAGTTTGGAATACAGTTGGAGAGCTTTCAGGTCCAGATCCTTTTGCATTGAAAGCCAAAACAGTTAAGTGAAATTCACTAAATGGCTCTAGACCAGGAATCATGCCATAGTTTCTGTCTCCTGTAAATGTTAGGAAGTGTTTATCTGGGTGATGATGTTTTCCATCTAGCAAACTCCTTATTTTCCACCAAATGACCTGTATTGAGAAAGGCAATTCTGTAACAGATTAAGTTCTATGGGGATGAACACTGCATTGATTTCCCCCAACCTCACAGCAATTGCTTTAAACTTAGACAGGATTCACCCAACACAGCATGAAAAGACATCTGTTTATATAAAGAATAAATTATGACAACCTTATATCCTTTTAAGTGTCCACGAACTCGGTCTCTTGGAATGCTGGACCAGATCGCTTTAACTAGTGTACTATTCATCACTTCCACCATTACACTTGAAGGAGCAGCATCTGGAACTGTAAATATGTAGGTGTTACATACTAAGGATACTCCCTAGGATTTATTTTCAAAGAGTAGCTCTACACTTATGCTGGCGTGTAGAGTACAGACACTGCATGCCCAGCTAGCATGGGTAGAAACAATAGCACAGATGGTGAGGCACTGCTCAGGCGAGTAGAGTGCCCTACATGCCTGAAATCTACAGTGTGTGCCCTATACATGGGTCTCTACATGCCAAAGCAGTGTCTCTGATATCTACACTGCTATATTTAGCAGTGTAGTGTCCCACAGCCTCCCTGTTGTCAGAGCCTTTCCCCACCACAGAGAAAGGCTCCAGCTGCAGGGAGTGCTGGAATCTTTCCCTGCCACAGTGAAAGTCTCTGGCAGAGGGAAAAGTCTTTGGCAGCTCCCCGGAGTCTTTCCACACTGCCTCCCCACTGTCAGTGTCTTTCATTGTCACGTGTAGCGACACACTGCAGGCAGTATGGATGTAGCCTTCCTTTCATTGTGCCGTGTAGTTACACGTATCCTACACGCAACAGCAAAGGTAAGCAAGTGTAGACAAGATCATAGCGTCCGTCCCACAGCTACCCAACCTGGCTCAAGTTATAGAGACTCATGCTTTTAAGTCTGGAGATTCCCCCAGTTCAGTTCCAAATGGAGGCCATCACATCTGTATCAGTGAGGATAAAAAAAGAATTATGATTAACGCCTCATTCAAAAAAGCAATCTTAGAGTTCTTTCTGGAAGCAATTTTCTTTTAACTAAATCAACTGGTTAAAGAATAGGGTTTTAATCACCACAGAACATCAAGAAATCTACTCCAGAACCTGAAATACCTAGACCCAGGGTCAATGCCACATCAGTGAATACAGGATCAGGTCCATAGAAAGCATATTGCAAGTGAAACTGAACACATACAGAGAATTCTCCCTTTTTACTTACTTTCACTATCTACCAGATGATATGATGTTCAGTGTTAATATTGTGACTGTGAAAAGCCACATGTCCCTAACCCCACACTCACTACCAGGGAATAGGGGATGGGTATTGGTTACTACCATAAACAATCTTATTTAGACTCCCAGTAGTAAGTGTTTACAGGGTCAGGCCTTAAATTAACAAACTATCAGAAAAATGAAATATGACAAAAATTGCAGGCCATGTAAAAGACCTACTTTGCAAACATTAATAACTCATCTACTTAGAACAGGTCATTCAGTGGAATCTGTAAACAAAACCTAATTGAGGGTTAGTTTCTTTGTATAATGTCCATAAGAGTTTCCTCTTTGGGCCATTTTTTCATGTTAGGATGACGATAATGATAGCTTTTATAGCACCTATTGGGGCTAGGCACAGACGAAGTTCATGTCAAGAGGCAGTCAGAGTAAAGAGGCTGGAGGAACAGTAATATCTATAAGATCATTCAGTTCAGCAGTTGCTAGTGCACAGCATGATGGATTAAAGAAGGATTTTGGTTGTTTGTCCATTTGAATAAGTGATAAAGTAAACAGTTGTCTCAGTTGGCTAATCCCTTGCAGGCTTTTTTGTAGGCCATTCAAGCTGGCCATCTATTTTTCTGTTAGGAAACACCTTGAAGGTTTCAGACATGGGATGAAAACTGCCTGACTTTACATAATAAAATTAATCTGCAAAATCTGAAAGATGTACAATTTGTAGACACTTCTGACCCTTGCTTGCCAGCAGTCCTCAGCCCCTGCTGCTAATGACTAATGCATTGGGCATTTGTTATTTGTATCAGGGAATCTTGGCTCCCTATGCTAGCTGGCTACACTGGTGTTTACTCCCTCATTGATTTCAATCCCTAAATCCTAAAAAGATTTTTTTGCTTCCCTTGCTTAACTGGCTTGTCTACTGAAGGAAATCTTGGCTTTTCATCACTGCAGCTGGGGAACGTATAATCCTCCCAATGTCTTTTATACATTGATTCTCTAAGCAACAGAAGGGAGAAAAATTATGATATAGTGTCAGGGGGGATTGGAGGGACTATTGTCCAATAGTCTAGATATTGTAGCAGGGATTTCTACAATCTTACAGTAGCCAGAAGCATGTTTGTATTAACTCCACCAGCTTTGACCCTGCACTAGTGTTGTAATTTTTGCATTAGTGTTCATTGGAGGAACATGATTACTAAAGAGCACTGTGGTGCGAGGGATTGGCAGGTACAGGTAGACTGTTGGTATCACAGCTGATGCTGATATTACAAAAGAGTATGAAATATGCTTATGTGGGAAACTGGGGAAAACATCATAACAGTCCCTTAGGGGCTTCAAATCTATGAACAGATGTTTGTGACACGAATGCTGATTGCTTGTATCAAGACAGTCATTTAAGAAGAAAGACATAGTACAGACATTGGAAAGAACATTTTTATCAGTGGTGGACCTCACTTTGAGAAGTGGCCTCCAGTTATGACAGGAACAAAACTGGATCCTCAGTTATTTGAAAGATCAAAGTTGCACTTGCAAAATTAGAGACCTGTTTGGGATCCCTTTAAAAATCGGGGACTCTGTGTCTCACAATTGTAAGAGTAGTTTCTATAAAAAGCAATAATATTGAGTGGAATATTGGTGTGGCTGCAAACTGTACGAATTAGAAGCAGTACAAATAGATCCAGTTTGAAAGGGATGATTGTGAAGGTCATTTCATGAGAAAGTACTCTGTTTCTTGCATAATACAGAAAGGATAGGTGTGTTGGTATCATGGACAAAAATGTGCTCACAATATGGAATGTAAAATATACTGAGGTGTCTACTGCACATGCAGGGCTGTGATATTACTTGGAAAACACTGCAACTCTAGTGTTGACACATTCCTCGATGTTCAGGGGGGATCCTTAAAGATAGTGCCACCTGCTTTCCTCAGTGTCGCTGGCCCATTCTGTAAACTGTGTCAAAGAGCCATAGTCATCCTCTTTCTTGCTGCCTTTGGATACCCTGCACCCCAGGAGTGCACTGAAGGGGCATACATCATTTCTTTTTGCAATTTCCTGCATTCTTTTTGGCATACAAAAGCTGAATGGTCTCTATGCTCTGTTTTAATTCTAAAATGCCCACAAACTGAATATGTGCATCTACCTGTAGAGCATTTTACTCCCTGTAGTTTGAGATGAATGTGTTAGGCCCCAGCCCAGCAAAGTACATAAGCACATACTTAATTTGAAGCATGTAGATAGTCCTTCTGAAGTCAATGGGGCTATTAAAGTGCTTAACTTTAAACATGTTTTGTTGGATTGGAGCCATGATTAGGTGCACAACTTAGACAAGCAATCGTACACTCATTTTGGTATATGCAAGCATAACTGACCTTTCTGAAAATGAAGCCCTTGATAGCTAAAATTCATAGTAAGGAAACTGACACATAGTAATTCTGTTTCTTTTAGTATTCCAACATGCTGATCACTAGTGAGTGACATTTAAGCATTTTTAATTGCGAGCTGATCAAATAATACTTGTTATCCATTTATATTGCAATGTAAGAATCATCTACACCATATACTTTTACAAAAAATGTTTCAGTTACTTACTGTCCTCTCCTGAATATCCAGTGGTAACATTTGGTTCAGGACCAGATCCAAAATTGTTTACAGCTTGGACTTTGATATCATAAGGCACAAAGGTAGGAGTATTCCTCAATGTCAAGGAATGTTTTTTTACAGTTTCCTCGTTCCAGTCTGTCTCTACTCCCTGCTGTCGCCAGCTGACTTTATACTCCAGTCCCGGTCCATTTTGCTCCATGGGTTTCAATGGCTACAAAAGAAGTTAAAGGGATACTGAGCTGCCTTTGTTGCTATAATCATAAAATGGCAGATTAAGTGGAGAATAATTTTGAAGCAGTACACTGCAATATTTTGCAAGAAAAAAATGACCTTCCCCATCATGTTATTTTTAAGATGACTATAAGAAAAGTGTTATGATTTTTAGAACAGCATGCGGGAATAACAGCTGGATTTAAAACAGGTTAATTATTAAAGCATATCTTTCTACATATAGAATGCTCTAATTGGTTTTGCGACACGTTTTCTTAGTTTTATGGTAATATAAATATATGTAATCTTCATTACAAGTAAAAGACAAATTATCTCAAATTTTTATGTGGCACAGCAAGTTGGGTCATTAAAATTTAGATTATCCTGTAAAATCTTAAATATGCACCAACCTCCCCGACTCCCACTCCTCTTCCCCCCCCCTCCACACACACACTCACTCACTCCACCGAACTAGATTTAGACACTTAATGGGTAATAAATAGCTGTACTCCAATTTTATTTTTTTTACTGCTTGGTTGAGGAAACTCTTCGTGATATAAGACAAGAATGAATCTATGAAATGGAGTCAGCTGGGGCTGGTTGGAAAATGGTATGGCTTTTCTGTAGAAATTTTAGAAAGAACCAGTTTGTTTGTTTGTTTTTCATAAAATCTTTTCAATTTTTATAGCATTTTTTTCAGTTGACGGTTTTTTAGTTGAAAAATCAGAAAATTTAGGAAGAGATGAAAAGTTTCACAGAACGTTTTCATTTACAAAAAACAAGCCATTTTTCATCAAAAAGCTGAGGTGTTAGCCCTTATTGATAGGATAATTCAGTCACTAGGCCCTATAAGGTCTGATCTAGCAGCCTTTGAAGTCAATGGAAAGGCTGCCATTTACTTCAGTTGTTGTGGGGGAGTGCACTTGAGGAGATGAATAAATGATGGGGCAGTTGTAGAGGCCTGATAATCAGATTGGTCATAGCTGTTCATTGTGAAGACGGCCAATAAAGCTACCAGTTGTGAGTCTTATGATGTGCATACCTGCAAACTGGATTTAATCACTCAGCTTACTAGACCAATGGTGGGTAACCTGTGGCCCATTAAGGTAATCAGCTGGCGGGCTGCCAGACCATTTGTTTACATTTTCACGACTTTACATGACTCCCAGTGGCTGGGGTTCACCATTTGAGGCCAATCGGAGCTGCAGAAAGTGGCGGCCAGGCTTCCTGCAGCTCTCTTTGGCCGGGAATGGCAAACCGCAGCCACTGGCAGTTGTGAGAGGCCGTGCAAATGTAAACAAATGGTCTGGCGGCCTGCCAGTGGATTACCCTGATGGGCTGCGTGTGGCCCACAGGCTGCAGGTTGCCCACCACTGCACAAGATTCATTTCACATAGACCATCAACTAGCCATCACATGTTAACAAACCAATATGGGTTGGATTTGAAGAGAGTTGGGAAAATCACATTGATGGTTTGTTTTGGGGTTTTTTTGGTTCACTGGCATTTCCAAAAAACTTTTTAAAACAACGTTTGGGGTGGAAACGATGACAATTTCTTTGCTGAAATTTTGGGCAAATCGGAAAGTCAAAACAGGTTGAATAAAAAATATTTCATTCAATTCAAATATTTCAGTTTTGACCATTTTAAAATGTTTTTGAAAGGAAAATTCATTTTGGCCTAAAAAATCAAAATGTTCCCTTTTGAAAAACTAAAAATCAAAACATTAACATTTTTTTTCAGAATTTTTTTAGGTTATCTTTTCGAACAAAACAATTTGGCAAAATTAACAGGAATTCATGAAATGTTTCAGTGTTGCCAAATTTGTATTTTTCATCAAAAAAAGTTTTGTGCAAAAAATTTTGCTCAGATCTAGACTTAAACAATGTGTTTTTATAAGTCAAACTACTTTTAAAATTTAATTGTAATGTATATAAGCAAGAAAAAAATGTTAATAATTCCATCAACAGTTTTTTCCATACATAAGAAGCATTCAAAAATACACTGCAGCTCCAATCCAACAAATCACATGAACTCTATATTTGAAGTATTTGCTGGACAACATCTTAAATTGACTTAATTTGAATTACTATTTAATTAACTGCATTAATAATTAAATTAATTGAATTGTCATTTATTAACAATTTTGCATAACATTTAGGAGCACATGACTGATGAAAATGATCATTGTTATTTAAACTCTGACTTCTTCATTGCATTGCCAAAGCATTACACAGGGATTTAATTTTGTAAATCCCCTTGACTAAAACCTGAATGGTACTTTGAAAATTGATAGTTTACAAATGCACTAAAAGGAAAATAAGAAAATAAAATTTAATGCTGGAAAATAAATTCCAGTTTAGGGTTAAGTTTCAGCCCCACTTGACTATTATTTTGATCTTGCTTAATGCAACAAAGCCTTGGCTGAAAATCCTGTTGCTAATGCTCATCTGATCTGTTAATCCAAACTAGGCAGATTAACATCATTTTGCAGAATCAGTGTGTGTACATATCCAGCCCTTGTCTGCTTGAAATAAAGAATTCAGTCAGTGTGTACCAGGCATAGAATATCTGCTGCAAAGCCTATAAGAAGCAAACTAAATAAAAATATTTGTTCCCAAAAATAGTCTAAATGAACCCAGAATCACTGTCTGTTCTTATTTATCTAAACCTATCCAATCCCACTCCATTCTCACCTTTAAATGTTGTGTTACAACTGAATTGTAGATTGTAAGATTTTTGGGCAGAGAATACATCTAGCTAGCAGTACAAATAATTAACAACAACCTACGCTGTCTGTGTTGGTAGCTGCCTCTCTGTAACTGCTTATAAAAATAGAATTGTTCTCACTGACTATGGAATATTTTGCAGAATGAAGTTTCACAATAAAGTAATAGTCAATAGACTTAGAGGGTCACTTTCACTTCTGGGCTGCACCCTACCTAAAATGAAAATTCAGGTTGAGGAAATTTTTATGGTTCTTTTCTGCTAGAACCAGGGTGGGAAATAATCTTTCCAAATCCAATGCAAAATGTGCTTTATTCCAGTTACACAAAATACATTCCTTCTACAATTATTAAAACTTGTTTGGAATGGAAGAGAAAATATATCCCTCTGAACAGATGGCACATAAATTACAGACAAACAGACTGGAAATCTGAAGGCTGTAATTCTGTCCTCAACACTTTTACAGATTCCTTTGACACTTGTGCTAATGACCTTCTCCAGCTCTTGCTATATATGGGATTTCTTCTCCCACTACACACTTGTGTATTTCAGGCCTTCTTACATTTTTCCATAGCATTTGTCACACAGGTGTCAAAAATGTATTTTTGAATGGGAGAGGAAGGAAAGAAATCCTTTCCCCATTGAAGTGAATGAGGCTTTGCCTTTGACTTCAGTGGTCCTCAGATTTCAGCTATGGAGTCTACTAATGGTGGCTACAAGACAGATAGCAGGAAGAAACCCATGAAACCCATATTGAAAATGTGAGTACTGTCTTAACATGATCCTGATAACTTCAGTAATGCTTCAGGATCTTCAGCTTGAAAGGAGAAACCATTTCACATACAGTTTCACTGATAGGAAGTTTTAAATTACCTCCCATTTCATAACCATTTCATTTGGTTCAGAAGCTTCGACTCGGATGTTTTCTGGGTTCTTGTCTGGAGCTATAACAGTAGAACGAATAAAATTAGTTTACGCCATCTGTCCTTTATTAATCCTGTCTTTTCTCCCCTCTCCCCCTATGCCCTACATCTTCACAAAACAACCAGATAGATGTGAAAAGCACCACACTAATTTTCTTACTTCAAATGATTTGGCTTTGTTGCAACTAACCAACATGTAAATAAAGAACCCATGATTAAACATAATAACTTGACACAACAGAGGGTTAGTGAACAAATATGTAGTTTATATGGTTTGATCTTGAGCAGCCTTCTTGGTTAGTTTTAGTCAATATCTCTAAGATGACTTTTTGGATTTCAGAGTACCAGATGTAGGGGGATTATGCTGAAGAGACATTTCCCCTGTTGGGAATGGAAAAACAGAAGGTGTATCATTAGTGTGTGACACAGAGCTGAAAAGCTGTGGAAGAAGCAGAGACAATATATGTAAAAAAAACCCAAAAAACAAAAAACCCTAAAGCAAAAATAAAGCTGGGGCAATGTAAATTACTATGCAATGCTGAACAGCTGGCCTCTGCAAGTACTTTCAGGAACCAGTCATTCTGTGTTACAATGAGAAATGTGTTGTGAATGGAGATTTGTGACAAGTTCAGAGCTGCTGGGAGACTCACCATAAATCTTGAGAAAGATCCTATCTAGCAACTGATTGTATGTAAAAGGGCTATATTGGGGCTTTAAGCAACAGAACCAACCGGAGCCCCTGGACCATCGTACCTAACTTAGTATGCTGTCCTCCAGAGCTTCAGAGCGTGCAGGAGAGCACTGCTGCTATGCCACCCTTGGCATATGTGTGGCATATGCTCCCCTTTGCAGGGTATCAGCTCTTCTGGCTGGTGTGAGTCACAGCTCTGGCCTCTCTTTTCAGAGACTATTGAGTATAACTACATCTTCAGAGAGCCCCATTTGGCTTCAGTGGGACAAATCATGTCATAAGGTGTTATTCAGGTTTGCAAGAGTGTAAAAATTTGGTCCCAGATGACTTAAACTGGGCTGAAAGCAACCCTGTTGGATTTCAAACTCTCATGGAACAAATAGGATTAAATGTTATTCTAAAAAATATATAGCCAGGAAATGAGATGACAGTATGTACCAGTGGGAGGTGTTTCATAGCGTGCTGATGATGCGCTAGCCTTGCTTCTTCCAACATCATTAACGGATATAACACGGAACTGGGAATTCATATAAGGAGCCAACGATAAAACAACGGTTGTGTTGTTCCCTGGGATTCTTGTGAGTTCCTGCCACTTCCCAGGCTCCCAACGATTCACTTCAAATTCTACAATGGACTCTGGACGGGGAAAAATAAAAATGAGAGAGATAATACCAAAAGCATAACTGTGCATTAAAGCCCATATAAATATAATGGCAAGCACAGAAGAAAACAAATTTACAACAAAGGTGTTTAAAAAATAAAAACAATTAAGTATGTCTATGAACCTTGTCTGTTTATTCTAGTGGTAATGACACACTGTAACTCTAAAAAATATGGTACTAGAATCCTTCATACCATAAATGGGACTGTTGTGACTGTCTCCTGCTTTCCAGGATAATCTAACACTTCTGTTCTGTTTTTCTGAGAGAAGTAGCTCTTCTGGTGGGTCAGGAACATCTAAGAAATAAAGAAGAAATAGCAGAAAGGTGGTGAGTGGTATGTATTTAGGGTAAGATTTCAACAGTGCTGTGCATTGGCCCTAACTGCTCCAACTGAAGGCTATGGTAAAACTTCCACTGACTTCAGTGGCGACTTAGTTAGGCCAGCAACAATCACTTTTAAAAATCCTACCCTTATTATACAAACACAAAGTGAATCCTCTGATTTTATGAATGGCTATATTCATTTTTCAGGGAAATCTCACGTACTCTTATTGTAATAACTAATGCAATCAATTTATTTTTTCTTCATCAATATAAAGTCTATACAATAATTAATATATCTCAGTTTTGTTTTTAATAGAAAGCTGCATTTGCTTCACTTGGATTTACTGTGGTCCAAACCATAGTGATGGGGGAAGAAGAGTGAACTTCCCCAGATATTAAACCTATGCCCCTATAATGTTAGTGAGAGGAGAAAATGCATTATCCCTGGTGGATTCCCAGTTTAACCCTATACTGTGTGAGTAGAGAAGAAAGTTCATGACCCAGCTACTCAGTTCATCATCTATCTAGAGGCTAGGACAAAAGCCAATTGGATGCTCATATGCCGTGATGGTGAGTGTGATATAACAACCTGGCTAGATCTCTCATCTCGGTGCCACGAAGGTGACTTTTAATCTCTCAGCAGGGTCATTCCAACCCCAGCTACTACTCCATCATATGCACTGTCTGTGTCAGAGCCGATTTTCAGAGCTACATATGAGGTCTGACAATACAGGACTTTAGAAGCTGACTTGTAAAGCTTTAATACGGCATATACAGAGACGGATTAACCAGCAGGAGAGCAGGAAAACAGCATGGGAGGACAGACATGTTTGCAGAATGACCCTGTGTTTCTCAACAAGTTTATAAGAGGCACTAGAGACGATCTATGGTTTGGGATAACATATGTTTATGAAAATCCTGCAGATTCATCTGATGAAGTGAGCTGTAGCTCACGAAAGCTTATGCTCAAATAAATTTGTTAGTCTCTAAGGTGCCACAAGTCCTCCTTTTCTTTTTGCACATACAGACTAACACGGCTGCTACTCTGAAACATATTCTACAGTGAATGCCTTTAATACAGGCACATTCAGACTGACAGATGTTTATCTTCATCAGTTATTGAGACTTGTTTTGACAATTGTGCCATCCGTTTTACGAAATTGACATGGTCTGAGGAAAAAGAACAGTTTCTCATAACAATAGTATTCTGGGGCAGTATGTTTGTTGAAATAACATCTAAATAAAAAAAACACGAAAGAAATTTAAAAAATCATGTTAAAAATAAAATTATTTTCATTATGAACATACTCTTCAAACCTCAAAGTGGAAATGGTTCCATCTCCTGGAGTCACTTTAATCTAACGCAATGTGATTAAGGAGTAGGGCTTTGAGGCTTTGAGCAAGTCTTCATCCTCCTTGTGCCTCAATCAAGTCACCTGTATTATTGGCTAAAACTAGGATTGACACTGCATGTAAACTAAATTAAAGGTAAAGGCACAGGAATTTTTAAAAAGTGAGCTTGTGCCTTCTTACCTGGCTTATGATGTGTAAAAAATGCTAGAAAGATTCTTCACCTCTTCTCTCCTCCCCAGTTGTATTACACCTTTGAAATATCAGAAATACCCAGTATGGTCTCCCTAAGTTTTGCTAGTGGCCCACTTGTGGTCTCAGAGCATGTCTGTTGTGAGTTCTTAGATCTTATTTGGAGAGACAGCGATCCTCTATTTTAACAGAGATGTTCTCCAGTATGTCCATTAGTCACTGATGGGTGTTAACAAAACCAAACAGTTTTAAACAGACCAATTAAAAATTCCTTCCTGCTCAAATTTTGGTGTCTTGCTTTTAGCAAAATTAGTTCTCTAGTCACCATAGAGTTTTCAAGGACAGAAAAGGCTTGAATTTTTAGTTTGAAGAACACAGATTTTTTTAAACCCCCATCTGGTTTATACATTATAATAAAAACAAAAAAGGATCAAGACCATTTTTCCCCCCAAGCAGGTCAACTTTTAAAAGGGAATATAGCCTTTCATGGAATTTTCATAAGTAGTACAACAAATAGTAAACAAACATCTTGAATTACACAGTACTATAAATGTACAGTACTGTAAATAAAAGGCATGTCATGTTGTTAATTTACTTTTTATTGAAAACCAGCATTTATCATTAAAGCATGAAGTAAATACAAAACCCTGAAGGGTGAGTGATTTAAGTCCTGCTGCAGCCTCTGCCAAGAAAATAAATGGTGTGAATTAAAACAAAAACAAAAGCTTGCCCTTAAAACAGGGGTGGGCAACGTTTTGGCCCGAGGGCCACATCGGGGTTACAAAACTATATGGAGGGCCAGGTAGGGAAGGCTGTGTCTCCCCAAACAGCCTGGCCCCCACCCCATATCTGCCCCCTCCCACTTCCCGCTCCCTGACTGCCCCCTCAGAACCCCTGAGGCATCCAGGACACAGGCAGGAATGTCTGTGAGGGGAGGGCTCCTGCCTCATACTGAGAATGAGGGGCGATCAGCAGGTTATCTCAAGTGCTTATATACGAATGCACAAAGCCTTGGAAACAAGCAGGGAGAACTGGAGGTCCTGGTGATGTCAAGGAATTATGACGTGATTGGAATAACAGAGACTTGGTGGGATAACTCACATGACTGGAGCACTGTCATGGATGGTTATAAACTGTTCAGGAAGGACAGGCAGGGCAGAAAAGGTGGTGGGGGGTAGCACTGTATGTAAGGGAGCAGTACTTAGTGCTCAGAGCTCTGGTACGAAACTGCAGAAAAACCTGAGTGTCTCTGGATTAAGTTTAGAAGTGTGAGCAACAAGAGTGATGTAGTGGTCGGAGTCTGCTATAGACCACCGGACCAGGGGGATGAGGTGGATGAGGCTTTCTTCCGGCAGCTCGCAGAAGCTACTAGTTCGCACGCCCTGGTTCTCATGGGTGACTTTAATTTTCCTGATATCTGCTGGGAGAGCAATACAGCGGTGCATAGACAATCCAGGAAGTTTTTGGAAAGCGTAGGGGACAATTTCCTGGTGCAAGCGCTAAAGGAGCCAACTAGGGGGGGAGTTTTTCTTGACCTGCTGCTCACAAACCGGGAAGAATTAGTAGGGGAAGCAAAAGTGGATGGGAATCTGGGAGGCAGTGACCATGAGTTGGTTGAGTTCAGGATCCTGACGCAGGGAAGAAAGGTAAGCAGCAGGATACGGACCCTGGACTTCAGGAAAGCAGACTTCAACTCCCTCAGGGAACGGATGGGTAGGATCCCCTGGGGGACTAACATGAAGGGGAAAGGAGTCCAGGAGAGCTGGCTATATTTCAAGGAATCCCTGTTGAAGTTACAGGGACAAACCATCCCGATGTGTCGAAAGAATAGTAAATATGGCAGGCGACCAGCTTGGCTTAATGGTGAAATCCTAGCGGATCTTAAACATAAAAAAGAAGCTTACAAGAAGTGGAAGGTTGGACATATGACCAGGGATGAGTATAAAAATATTGCTCGGGCATGTAGGAATGAAATCAGGAGGGCCAAATCGCACCTGGAGCTGCAGCTAGCGAGAGATGTTAAGAGTAACAAGAAGGGTTTCTTCAGGTATGTTGGCAACAAGAAGAAAGCCAAGGAAAGTGTGGGCCCCTTAATGAATGAGGGAGGCAACCTAGTGACAGAGGATGTGGAAAAAGCTAATGTACTCAATGCTTTTTTTGCCTCTGTTTTCACTAACAAGGTCAGCTCCCAGACTGCTGCGCTGGGCATCACAACATGGGGAATAGATGGTCAGCCCTCTGTGGAGAAAGAGGTGGTTAGGGACTATTTAGAAAAGCTGGACGTGCACAAGTCCATGGGGCCGGACGAGTTGCATCCGAGAGTGCTAAAGGAATTGGCGGCTGTGATTGCAGAGCCATTGGCCATTATCTTTGAAAACTCGTGGCGAACCGGGGAAGTCCCGGATGACTGGAAAAAGGCTAATGTAGTGCCAATCTTTAAAAAAGGGAAGAAGGAGGATCCTGGGAACTATAGGCCAGTCAGCCTCACCTCAGTCCCCAGAAAAATCATGGAGCAGGTCCTCAAAGAATCAATCCTGAAGCACTTACATGAGAGGAAAGTGATCTGGAACAGTCAGCATGGATTCACCAAGGGAAGGTCATGCCTGACTAATCTAATCGCCTTCTATGATGAGATTACTGGTTCTGTGGATGAAGGGAAAGCAGTGGATGTATTGTTTCTTGACTTTAGCAAAGCTTTTGTCTCCCACAGTATTCTTGTCAGCAAGTTAAAGAAGTATGGGCTGGATGAATGCACTATAAGGTGGGTAGAAAGTTGGCTAGATTGTCGGGCTCAACGGGTAGTGATCAATGGCTCCAGTCTAGTTGGCAGTCGGTGTCAAGTGGAGTGCCCCAGGGGTCGGTCCTGGGGCCGGTTTTGTTCAATATCTTCATAAATGATCTGGAGGATGGTGTGGATTGCACTCTCAGCAAATTTGCGGATGATACTAAACTGGGAGAAGTGGTAGATATGCTGGAGGGCAGGGATAGGATACAGAGGGACCTAGACAAATTGGAGGATTGGGCCAAAAGAAATCTGATGAGGTTCAATAAGGATAAGTGCAGGGTCCTGCACTTAGGACGGAAGAACCCAATGCACAGCTACAGACTAGGGACCGAATGGCTAGGCAGCAGTTCTGCGGAAAAGGACCTAGGGGTTACAGTGGACGAGAAGCTGGATATGAGTCAGCAGTGTGCCCTTGTTGCCAAGAAGGCCAATGGCATTTTGGGATGTATAAGTAGGGGCATAGCGAGCAGATCGAGGGACGTGATCGGCTCTATTCGACATTGGTGAGGCCTCATCTGGAGTACTGTGTCCAGTTTTGGGCCCCACACTACAAGAAGGATGTGGGTAAATTGGAAAGAGTCCAGCAAAGGGCAACAAAAATGATTAGGGGTCTGGAACACATGACTTATGAAGAGAGGCTGAGGGAACTGGGATTGTTTAGTCTGCAGAAGAGAAGAATGAAGGGGGATTTGATAGCTGCTTTCAACTACCTGAGATGTGGTTCCAGAGAGGATGGTTCTAGACTATTCTCAGTGGTAGAAGAGGACAGGACAAGGAGTAATGGTCTCAAGTTGCAGTGGGGGAGGTTTAGGTTGGATATTAGGAAAAACTTTTTCACTAGGAGGGTGGTGAAACACTGGAATGCGTTACCTAGGGAGGTGGTAGAATCTCCTTCCTTAAAAGTTTTTAAGGTCAGGCTTGACAAAGCCCTGGCTGGGATGATTTAATTGGGGATTGGTCCTGCTTTGAGCAGGGGGTTGGACTAGATGACCTCCTGAGGTCTCTTCCAACCCTGATATTCTATGATTCTATGATCCAACCCCCCCGCTCCTTGTCCCCTGACTGCCCCCTCCCGGGACCCATGCCCCTAACCACCCCCTATCCAACCCCAGCCATGCTCCCTGTCCCCTGACCTCCCCCAGGGACCCCCTGCTTCCTGCCCCCTTACCATGCTGGAGCCAGCCATGCTGCCTGGCAGGAGCAGTGGGCCAGAGCTCTGGCAGCGCAGAGCGCTGAGGCTGTGAGGGAGGGGGAAGGGCCATGGGCTAGCCTCCCCGGCCGGGAGCTCACAGGCTGGGCAGGACAGTCCCGTGGGCCAGATGTGGCCCGCGAGCTGTAGTTTGCCCACCTCTGCTTTAAAATAACATTCCTGTTAATATCCAATTCCCTTGGATAGGTACTTAGGCTCTGATTCTGCAATGGATTGCATGTAGGTGCATCAATTCACCCACCCTTGACTTCAATAGGGCTTCACGTGGGCAGAGCTGCAGGCAGTCCATAGCAGTGTCAGGAGAAAAGGAGGCTTCTCCAGTGGTTATGGTGCCAGCTTGGGACTTGGGAGAGCTGGGTTGCAAGTCTCAGTTCTGCCATTAGCTTCCTGTGTGACGTCAGGTAAATCGCTTAGTCTCCCTGTGCCTTAGGTCCAGTCTACACTAAAATGTTAGGTCAACCTAGCTATGTCATTAAGGGATGTGAAAAACTCACATAATTGACCTAGCTACCACCTCTCAGGGAGGTGGACTACCTACACTGATGTGGGAGAACCACTCCCATTGGCATAAGTCGTGCTGCAGTAGCATTTCAAGTGTAGACAAGCTCTAATTAGTTTCCTTTCTGTAAAATGGGGGTGTAACTGCACCTGTTCTGTGTGGTGCTCTGTCCCCGTCTCGTGATGGCAGTGTCACATATAGAGATTGATGAGCCCGAAGCTGTCAGATGCAAGGATTGAACCTGGGACCTCAGGATTTTAAAGCATGAGCCTCAAATGCTTGAACTAAAAGACTCTGTTAGCCGTAGCAAATACAACAATAGCCCTTAGTAATTGACTAGTACATAGATAGTAGTACATCCCTATCTCACAGGGGATTTTGTGAGGACAACTACATTAAAGATTGTAAGGCACTCAGTTACTATGATAGTGGGGGACATATAAGTACTTTAGCTTCAGGACTTTAGATAACAAAATAAAACTGCCTCACTATTTTTGCAGGAAAGATATTCCCAATCATAATTGAAGGGGTGCATAGGGTGTATTCAAATAGCAAGGTAGACTTATGTATATAGCTAAGTCAAAACTGATAAGTTCTCATGGGCGGCCCCTGTAATACCATATTCTGAAACCAAGATAGTCCAAGCAGCTAGGCTGCACGCCAGAGATCTCTGTGGAAGCTGGGATGGAGGAATCCTCCCCCGTGAGGTTGCAAAGTGACAGCATAACTTTTCCACCAATGCAACTACAGCTTCCAGCCTTCAACAGCTCCTACAGCTGGTGTGATTGCCTCTTGCACAAAAGAAAATGATGAATGGCGCTCAACAAGGACATTATTACATATGTTGTTGTATCAGAATATTGTGCTCTGGGGCCCAGTTTTCACAGATGTTGGAAAGCATAATCCTAACTGAAATTAATAGATGATGCAGGTGCTCTGCATCTCTGAAAACCAGGCCACTGATGTTGTATAAATTGAACTGAGTGTGTAGAAAAACTGGTCTGAATTACAACATTGTTTAACTTTTTGGATGTAGCGTGCAAACCAGGGGGAAAAAAATTACTTACCAAGGACAATTAATTGGGATTCGGCTGTGACACTGTCCAGAGATGTACTAGCCACACAGGTGTAAACGCCTTGATCCTCTAATGTCACACTTGATATAAACAACGTATCCATTTCAGTAATTATCCTTCAGGACAAAAAAGAAATTACATAAGCATGAGAGAGAGAGAATTGGAAGAGAAGCATATTACTGATACACATTTTTTTCCTGACGTTCATGCACGCCTTTGATAACAGACACATTTGGAATAATACAGTGGTGGTGTATGTCTGTTATTTAAAATTGTGTCTTAGCTGCAGATATATTACACATTGTACTTTAGAATATTACTTTTGTAGCAATTTAGAGCTCAGAGTTAGATCCTCAGCTGGTGTAAATGGCATGGCTTCATTGTCTTGAATGGAACTATGCTGATTTACCTCTCAATGAGGATCTGGCCCTCCGTCTTTATGCATGTGCTCAGTCATATTATGTGGTGGAGCGTGGGGGGCTGTACCTCTTCCGTGACTAAAAAATAAAGGAATTGTCCATTCTGGACACTTCATAAGATTAGGGGCCCAATCCTAGTCATATCAAATTCAACAGCAAAACTATACAGAGAGCAAAATTCAGCCCTCATTTCATTTATTCCTATGCTTAGGACACAACCACTCAGAAACACACTGCTTTTAACGTATACTATTTAAACTCATGTTTCTAGCTCTCGCTAAGTATCTAGCACCCCAGTGTTGAACAACTGGGGTGAAATGCTGGCTCCGCTGACCTCAATGATAAAACTCCCAGTGGCTGCAGGGGAGCCAGTATTTCACACTTGGATGAAGGGTAGGCAGCCAAGTTTGATACTTCATTGTGTAGGGTGCCTGCCAAATGAGACATACTGCACCACTGGATAGCAAGTATATATGAACCTACCTGCAAAGCTTGGTTCAAAAAATAAAATAAAATCAAAGCTTTAAAATATTTGAAAGAACACGAGTGCATTCACGAAAAGATATGCACTGCATGAACAGCTATGATATGCACAGACTTGGCTTAAAGCTATAAAAAATATCCTATCCATAGGGAACAAAATTAACCATGCTACACATAACACAGTATTGTTTCAGAGTCAAAACAAGGAGAGGTTTTTTCTCAAGATTACCTGCCATCTTCTGTGCTGTTGATTTGCAACTCATCTCCATCTTTCCTCCAGGATAATTTAAAACTTTGTTTCAAGTGTGAGTCATATTCAGACTGACATTTCAATAAAACTGAATGTGATTTCAACACTTGTGGGTTTTCAGGAGTAACAACAAGTTTTGTAGCATCTGGTTGATCACAGAAAGATATTCTGATTAGCAATATACAGGTGATTGTCCTACATTTTCACCAAGAAATTCAAATGCAGAAAATAATCATAAGAGCAATATACTGTAGTTTTTCTACACACTAGTCAAATTAAGGAGGAATATTTTGATTTGAGGTTGGGCTAACATTTAGTGTACTATAAAAGCATTTTCCTTTGAGTTCAATTCATATCAAAGAGGATCATACAGCCAATCAGGAGTTTATAGGAAAATATCACAGGTGAACATCCTAGCTAATGGTCTGTTACAGTATATGACAAAATAAATGAGATAGAAAAACTTGACTACGATTTTTATGCCCAATCCTATTTCAAATAGATGTTGGCAATGACCCAGAGAAAATTACAAACGAATTAAAGTCAAGTAGGGAAAAAATATCACAATCAAGTTAGTTATTTTAAAATCAATCTGAATGAAGAAACAGAAAACTAAGTAATGGAAAGCAATTGGCTACATTGCCATACAGTGAAAAGTAGCTTTGTGAACATTTCATTGCGTGTTCCCATATTTATAGTCTCTCATTAATTTCTAAACAATTGTGTCCAGCTGACAAGTAAAAAGAAAGGGAAGAAAACAAAACAAAACAAAACCTAACTACAAAACCTGCAAAATCATCTTTCGCTCTCAAACTGCAGTCTTTCCTATTCATGCATCATTAATAGTTCTTCAGGCTACACTAAACCCTCTGTAACATGTGCAGCCCATTGACTTTAGATTATGTTCTCAACTGTACCTGTCCAACACTATCCTCCATTTCAAGACACACACACAACCCCCCGCCCCCAAACCTGTGTTAAAATGGAGTTAAAGCTGAGAGTACATATCAGTAATTTAAAGGTAACACACATTACAGGAATGCTATAATTATCCCAAAAGCCAAACATTACAAATCCAGCATATCCACTGAGTCTCAGGGCTGATGAGAGGAAGCAAACCCTCCCCTCGACAGTGCTCAGGCCAATATAGGAATATGGAAAAAAACTCCTTCCCAGTCTCAAAAAGGCTACTAGTATAATGCCCACAGCAAGTGCCCCAAACCCAGATCCTGCTGTAACCTGAGAGAGTGGAGGGGGTTATCATTCATGTTGTTGAAACTTGGCAGGTGCCCAGTGAAGGTACTCATGCACTAGGGGATCCAATCCCCTGACAAATTGGAATTGGTGGTAGAGTTTGGAGAAGACAACCCCTAAAGAAGTGGGAAATGGGGTGGGAGGTTCCTAATGTCTGGTACAACAAGGGCCCAATACCCATGCCCTCAACAATCAAAAGAGGGGAATGGCAGTGGGGTTGCAGCAATGCTGCTGGGACCAGGTTAATGGTGTGGAAGGGGATGGGATGACGGCCATGCTCCACACGGTGGTATGGATTACAGAAGGAAGTCTGATCTGCACTGGACAAGTTATTGCCAGATAGTTCCCAGATGTGTTAGTTAATAAAGCTATGACCTAGTTAAGCTGCATTCCTTGTGCCTTGTCATTCTTTTTGCAGAGCCCAGGACAATGCGAGGGTCATCCATTCATGGGGGAAGTACCATGCACAAAATATGCAAGAGTGCATACCTTGTCTTGATTCTTGGACATTCCTTTCATTAAACCTTGCATAGTTGTCCCTTGCATCATCCATACATGATGCTGCTTCTTTTGCTGGACTGGGTCCTTCTGAATCAAGTATTGCTTATAAACCATGTGATAATTTTTGATGCAATTGCAAGAAGCAGAATATACCTCTGTTTTGGAATACATTTTCTCGAAAGCTTTAACATGTTTCAAAGATGTGTCTATTCATAAAATGAGAAGTTACCTCTGATACCCAGATTGGCAGTGATTGCACTTTTTCCAACCAAATTTGTCACCCAACAAGTGTACGACCCAGAATCTTCTTTCTTTGTCTCTCTGATCTCCAAAGTGCCATTTTCATATACAGTGTACCGCAGACCTTCAAGTGGCATTGTGCTGTCATCCCTCATCCTAACAGTATAATAATGGTTACCAATTATTTTCAAGTCTTGGAACCAGGCTTTCACACCAGGAGAAATTTAGGTTTAGCGATTATTGCAAAGGAATAAGATGAAGATTTCTGGATTCTGTTCCCAGCTACGCCACGGAGTGGCTGAATATCTCTGAGCAAGTCACTTTAGCCACACCATGTCTCAGTTTACCAGCCTATTGGATATTATAATACCTTCCTCAAACAGATGTTGTGGGGTTTTCTAATTTTGTACAGCATCATGCCTTGAGATCCTTGGATAAAAAGCTTGTTTAAGTCCACCATACTGATATTATCTTATTCATTATTAAATTTAACTCAAACACGATGAGTGAAAAGTTTCAATGCGTTTGTACAGCTAAATAACATGTTCAATATAAAACCTGCGATTTAAAACAAGCAGCAGGCAAACAGTTATCAATGGCTTACCAAGTAATGACAGCAGGAGGTGAAGCAAAAACTTGACAGTGCAAGAAAGCATTGAAACCAACAACTGTGGCATAGTCTTCACTGTCTGAGGTTATCACTAATGGAGCAATATCTGCAAAACAGAATGTAAATCAGTTATGTTATGCTTCGGAGTTAGAATCAAACATGTTATTTCTCAGATCCTCTTTCCAGCGCCCTCCCTGCCACTAGCCCCACCACAAGTACAAGTAACTGGGCTGGTGCAAGAGGGAACTGCACAATGAGGAATCCGCCCAACTCTGGACCTTCCAGCTGTCCTACCACTGCTCAGTGCAACTGCAGCTCAGATGCTTTGACAGCGACTGCCACCAGCTCATAAGGGTCGATGGCTGGTGTATCTACTTAATGAGCAATTCATTGTCATACTCTCTCTCTTTGTACCGTGCTCCTTCTCTGTAGCTAGTCCCTGGCTTCCCTCTCAAGCACCACTCTGCAAACACAACAGGAGGATGGTTCTATGACATGCAGGGGCTGTAGGGCCTAGGACATGCTCCAGAAATCTTGGTCTGGATGCGGAAACTACATTGGTTCTGCTGCCAATGGGGATCGCTCCCACTAAGTCAATTCCCAGCATCATGATTGTTTCTTAAATGAACAAATTGATAATAAAAATTGAAGTTCCAGATTAATGATCTGTGTAATAATATAATTGTACAGTTAAGGGCACAATCCCGGTTCCACACCATAGGTCTCAATTCAACTATCAGTTATTGTTTTATTTAATAGAAGTCTTTGAGCGAGGCACAGTTCTTAAACTAGAGTGTACACGAGTCATTCTGTGCTTCCACTAAATGTATAATATCGTGCATGTGACACAAGGCTCTTTGAATCAGATTACACAATAAATTGCATCTCTTCATATTTTGGACCAATGCAAAGTTACAATGAACTTGTTAGAATCCTGAGGTTAACAATGAAAGCCATAGAACAACAGCCAGCTTTGCTAAAACATTAACAACTGTGGGCCTGATCGTACAAACTTTTACTCCCACGATTTATCCTCATGCAGTGATTGGTGAACAGGATTGGGTCCCTTGGCAACAGCATCCTTTCCATAAAGAATCTAATGTTGTGGGGTACTTACTTAAAACATTCACATTGGCAGTGGCAAGGATGGCACCATGCTTGTTAGTTGCCTCACACTGATACACTGCACTGTCCTGCAGTTGTAGGTTGGTAATGCTGATCTCCCCAGCAGAGACTCTGCCCCTATAGGTCCGTTCTTGAAAAGAATCAAACCATGTCAGTAGCATGAGGAATGATCAGCACTTTGAGTTCACAGAGCATCTCTCAACTGCTTCCATTTCAGATGCATGCCAAAGGGGCAAGCTGTATTTTCAGGATTAGGCTAACAGTTCCCCAACCACCAGAAAGCTGCTCTAAAGCATTGCACATGTCATCATTCCCATGGGGAAAAAGAAGTGGATAACTTGGCTTGCAGTAACATGTTTATTTCCAGAAACATTTTATCAATGACAGAAATAGCACAGTTTATATTTTGAATGTGTGTGTGCAGATTTCCAGAAGCACCTAAGGCATCCGACTACCCAGTTCTCATTAAGAAGAATGTCCAAATCACCTAAAAAAACTTTGAATTTCAGTCATACTGTATGTTCTTTACACCTATATACACAGTATGATGGGATACTCCAGGGATCGGCAACCTCTGGCACGTGGTCCGTCAGGGAAATCTGCTGGCAGCCAGGATGGTTTGTTTACCTGCAGCATCTGCAGATTCAGCCAATCGCGGCTCTCACTGGCTGCGGTTCGTCATTCCAGGCCAATGGGGGCTGCGGAAAGCGGCATGGGCCGAGGGACGTGCTGGCCTCCACTTCCCCAAGCCCCTGTTGGCCTGGAACAGCAAACTGTGGCCAGTGGAAGCTGAGATCAGCCAAACCTGCAGACGCTGCAGGTAAACAAACCATCCCGGCGGATTTCCCTGACGGGCTGCGTGCCAAAGGTTGCCGATCCCTGGGGTAGACAGTGTCCTGGATAACTTGGAGTGAGAATGGATGGGCCATGCTGCAGATTGCCTCACTCTGGGAGGAATTCTGATTTTCTCAGCTAGAATTCATTAGAGGGGTTCAGCATGCAGCTTGCTATGCTGGCTAGTTCAGGTGTATCTGTGACAGAGAGAGAGAGAGAGACATGGCCTAACCCTTCCCCACTCTTATTCAAGCAGATAGTGCCAGTGGAGGAACAAGGAGGGAGCAGGGCCTCTACTCTTCAGACACTTTGTGGCTTATCTCTGTGCTAGTCTATAAGTCCTAGTGGGGCCCTAGTATTGTAAGAGACTGATCCATGTTCCTAAAGATGAGAAACATACCCTGACTGGACATAGGCTTTAAATTACAGTTGTAGCTTCCATATTATTGTTGCTTTAATTCTACTCCCTTCATTATCACCATGAAGTATTCACTTTGGCTAAACCAGACAAATCAACTGTCATATGATGCATTTCGATTTATGCACCAACTTTTGTGCTGGGAGTATAGTATATGCTAATCTTGTCCAGCTGTCTGAGTGTAACCCACACACCTCCTGGGTGTGGTGTTCTGTTCCATCTAGTGGCACCGAGACCACTTAGAGAAAGAGTTAAATGAGTCTGCTCTACAGCCTTAGCTAACAACCAGTTGGCTTTTAGCTCATGCAGTAGAGGCTCATGCACTAAGCTCCAGAGGCCCCCGGTTTGATCCCACCCGCCAAAAACCGGTGTCTTTCGGCGTTGCATGAGCACACTATTTTGTATCCTTACTTACTATCAATAGGTATCCCATTACGTTTCCACTTTATAGTTGGCTCAGGTTTGCCAGTAGCTTCACACAATAGTAAAGCAGTTGACTTTATACTGTAAACATCACTTGTGGGTTTCTTTATCCACTGAGGAGGTTCTGTTAAGAAAGAAAATAACATTTCAGCAGACGTTACGACGAGTAGGAATAAAAGTTCATGAAGATGTTGCTATCACTAATGTCTTCCAGCAGATGGCACACACTATCTACTATTGCAGAGTAAAAAGAAAAGGAGTACTTGTGGCACCTTAGAGACTAACCAATTTATTTGAGCATGAGCTTTCTTGGTTAGTCTCTAAGGTGCCACAAGTCCTCCTTTTCTTTTTGCGAATTCAGACTAACACGGCTGTTACTCTGAAACCTGTCACTATTGCAGAGCAGGTTCTCTCTTAAAGGATAAATATATTGTCTTATTTTATTTTGATTTATAAAACAATTCTACCAGAGAAATTAAAATAAAATATACACCATTCTCCTCTGTTTAGATGGTGTTTGTTGAAATTAAATGCCAAGGAGAGGTTGTCAGAAGTGGACAGTGTTTTGAGTGAAAATGCTGAGCTGTAAGTGCAAAGCTAAATGTTAGTGCACCAGGAAGGCTGGTGAAAATGGCAAGGTTGCTTGGTTTGATATTTTCCAGAAACACCCTCAATATGGAACTCTTAACAACAGACATGCAATGTAACCAATGTAACGAAAATGCAAATATCTATTCAAACCAAATCCTCCCCTTGGATGTAATCATGTGGCTTCCACTGACTTCAATGGGACCTGGATATAGGTCTCTGACAGAAGAACCTGCAGTCTTAAGAATATTTTGGTGACTCAGGGAATGCAGGGGCTGAATCCAAGCTTATCTCTTTGCATGGACCAGAGAGGTTTCCTGGGATTTCTGACACCTTTGCACCATCCTCACGATAGCCAGAAACTGGGATCCTAGGGGCCTGATCCAAAGATCACTGAAGTAAATGGGAGTCTTTCTATTGACCTTCAATTGGCTTTGAAACAGGCCCTAAATGTTCAAGATAGAGCAATTACCACTCAAAAGTCAACAGTGCTAAAAGTTGTCCACATGGTGGTGCCAGAGATGCAGTGCCGTACTGACATCTTTCCTTGTTCTTAGAACAGGAAGTAAACACTATGTTTATGTTAATGAGGAGAATAGAGTGTGTAGTGTGGTGTTTGTTTTGGTAGGGTTTTCCTTTCCTTTCTTAAATATGTAAACACTGCTATGTGTTCACATTAGAGAAGGTCAAAGCAGCAGGTCTTGCACCTGGAGCAGAAGGTGGGGAGATCCTTGGTTCTTAGGGGAGTTTGTTCCACAGTATGGAATCAGTCAAAGCTCTGTCTCTTGCATAGACCAGCTGTACTGAGAAGTGGTGTTGTTAATCACAGTCCTCATCCTAGAGCTTTAGGCAATCTTTTAGATATTCAGAGCCTAGGTCATTAAAGGTCTTGAAGATAAGGACCAAGACGGAAATGAAATGGTGACAATACGCTAATACAAAGGTTCCCAAAATGTACCCCAAGATCACTGGTTCTTGATGGAGAACTACTGATAGTCCAAAAGAGGCTGCCTGCCACATGGTGCTAGCTCCTCGTCTCCTGCTGCTCCGTTGAATTAAAGAAGAGCTAAAAATACACAGCTTAAGTACTTTCCTAATGTTTTTCAAGTAAGAAACTGCTAGAGTTGCCTCATCGATGTTATGCAATTCTGAGTCTATTAGACAATTTCAGTATTAAAATGTAGTCCACACCATGAAGACACTAGAGAAGCCCTTCTCGATTAGGAAGAGGCGCTGTGCTGCCTATTAATATATTAAACGCAATGGCATCAAATATGAACATGCACCACTTGCATCTGCAAAATCCCACATTTATGCCAGCAAGTTGCTGATTTGTGCGAGCAAGATGAGTAAAGGCAGCCACCTCCATGGGCAATTCACCCCTCTTAAAACAGCTGCGAATCTGGGGGCTGTGATTACAATTGGCGTGTGTGATTTTTTTTAAATGATGCCCCTAGTTATATTATTAATTACTATTATTCTGACAATAAAGACGAGACACCCCAACCAAGATCAGGGTTATGATGCCAGACATTGTGCTAGTTAAAAGCTTCAGAGGTTATAAGCATTTTAAATTTTGGCGGATTATATTCAATAAATAAAAGTGTTTGAAACCATGACAATTTGTTTTTTTTTTTTTTTTTAAGAACCTCTCCCTCAGCAACAACAGGGCTTTTTCTGTCACCATTCTAATGTTCCAGGCTCTATCTCTTTTCAAAAAGAGAGATTAAAAGGTTCAAGCAGTCAAACAATTTGCTGGCTGAACATTTCCATATGCTTTGTCATAATTGCCTGAATCTTGGCCCTCAAACTATTGTAGGATTAGTAAATAGGCTGCCTGCAAATGCCATTGCTTGAGAATGCTGTTATGAAGTCTGAGGTTTTGTTTGGACATGCTTAAGTATCAGCAAGAGGACACAACGTGGAAATGAGAGCTAGATTCTGATTTATACTCTAGCAATAGGAGAGAGAATGGGCAGAAGAGCAGTGCTATTCTGTTGATATATCACTAGATAGTGGCATGGAGAGTAATTTTTCTTACTTGTTTAATTTTCTCTCCCTATGCACATTCATAGAGGAAAAACTGTCACATCCACAGATGCTATAAAGTGGTGTAACTCCACCAAAGTCAATAGAACTACACTCATTTACACCAGTTGAGGAGCTGACCCCATCATGTGCGCAGAGAGAGAATGAGACTGAATATGTGGCTCTGTGATGGATGTTAGTGACATTTATTGGTTTGAAACTCTAGAAAAGGAGACTCTTTGGGCTCACTTGTGCCTAACGTGTTGCATGGGAGGAGACTCCTAATAGATCTAAATCCTATTAGTGGTATCAACCGACATTGGTTCTATGCAGGGGAGAGGGGTTTAATAGCGCTCATAAAAAGCATTCTTTACATGGAAATAGCGGTTCTAGGTTTTTGGGGACTTGCTGGTTAATGAACAGAAACAATAATTCACATAGCTTTTATTCCTGTAGAGATCTGTGGTCAACATACTGAACAACTTAATTAATGTTATTTCCCTTGCATTTTACTTTTTGAAGCTCCTACAATTGCTTTGACGGCTTCAGTTTTTGCAGTTGAGAAAACCATGACCAGATTGTTAAAATATTCAGCTACTGTAGAGACGTTCCATACCATCTGGAATGATTTCTAAGAGTCAGCAACTTCCACGACAGGAGCATTTGAAACTTCTCCAGGCCGTGGTGTCCCATTCCTCCCCACTTTCAGGAAGAGAAATAAATATTATACAAAACAGGGTTGTGTCAAATGACAGGGAGTGATCAGTCATATCATATGACAAAATGCTGTGTAGATACTTGAAAGGCTGTTCTTCCTCTCTGGTTGCCTGCCTATGGAGAAGTGAGGAGAGATGGGGAAGTGAAGATTAAAATCGAGCAGCTGGCAGATGTGGATTGCTTAATAGCATAGGAGCACATTTCTCTCAGCAAAGTGGAGTCTCTTTTTTAGTCGTGGCAAGTGAAAAATGTTTTTGCTGAGTCTTTCAATTATGTTTCAGTATCTTCCTTCCAGAGCTATTTTGGGTGTCTTACCCAAAATAGCAGCTACATTAGCATGGCTGATAGTAACATTACAAAATGATAATATCACTAAATGTTGTACTCTGCTCTGTGGGGAGAACTGTGAGCCCTGCTGTGTGCCTGGACACAGCAATACGGGGGAGTAAGGAGTCACCACATGGTCCTGCATGGGCTACCCACATCCCTGGAGCTTTCTTAGTGATGGAGGGAGGAAGAGCAACTGCCAGCAGGCTGATAGTCCCCCTGTGAGCAGGTGGTGGGTGAGTGGGTCCCCCAATGCACACATGGAGCAATAACCTGATACAGAAAGGGGGATGGTCCACATCCCTGTACCCTGGAAGCAGAAATCACATTGTGACTTTCACGTTCTGTCGCTACTCTATTCCTGAAGGAGCAATGTTACACGTTGCCCTGTCCTGCAGCTGGATCGCCCTATTAACTCTGAAGAAGAGGCATTTATCTGCAAACTCATTCTGTTACTCATCCTCTGTGTAACTATGGGGCGATGCTTTTCTAGACTTTATTTTGACCCTAGATTGTTTCTCACTTGATTTACAATGGAAGTGTTTTGCATTGTTACCTAACCCACCCAGTTTGCATGATGCCTATTGTAAGATACTACACTGGCTGGTTTTATCACTCAGTTTCACCTTCGCCAGTAAATAAATAAATAAATAGATAATAATAACGGATAGGAAAATGCACACATCTGTGCAAGCTCCACTGATTTCAAAACAGTTACACTGGAGTAATTATGTGCTTTGTTATGCTGTTATGTGATATGATATAAGTCACTATTTTAAGACTGAATCTCTTCCATGATGCCTATGAAGAAGTGCTAGCTGCCAATGGCTAGGTATGCAGTGAGCTGAGACTTCTTTTTATTGTGTCATAGTTTGCTCCATTAACTTGTCCACCCGCCACCATTTGTTTGTCTCATCCAAATGGTACATCTTGTCATAGCATACACTGCAAGCTAAACTGGGTGTCAGGGAACTTCAAAGGAGCCACAAGCCTCTAGTTCTTGGTTTGTACTGGACAAGTAAGTTCCTGAGCTTCCTGACTTTTTCCTGGGCATGCACCATGCCTTATACAGTGGTGCCCTAATTCTTGAGCTGTGTACCTAGGTGCTATCATCATATTATTATTTGCCTTGCAAAAGCAAAGAAAGGCATTGTGCTTTATTATTAATCATGGTTTGTTAAGAGTTGACAGTGTCCTTGGCCTATGGACTTTATCACCTAAGTAAATCCAGAAAATACACTGGGAAACTTCAAATGTGATGCTCATGTAAAATGATTCACGTGGGCAGGAAGGGGGGTGTTGCTGTCCCTGGGGATAGAACCTGGACATGTTGGTCTAAAAGCATGAGCCGCAATGGCCTGCACGGAAAGAACCAGGTCTCTTAACCAAATGCTGCAGCAGACTCATAAAAACCTTTATGTGGTTCAGCCACTACAGGTCAACAAAGCTATCCAGAGTCAGCAAGGGCGACGCTAATAGAGCAATTGTTCAACAATGCATTATTTTAGTGAAGGGCTGGAGACAGTAATTTGTGTTGGCATCTTACTGGTAGGAGCTGGCCTCTCTAGCCTTTGTGGAAGCAGAGATACAGTTTGCAGATCTAAAGTTAGACAGGCCCCCAGGCTAACATACACAGATAGTACAGGAGTAACGATAACATTAATGAGTGAGGATATAAAAAACTGCTGGGAGACAGATTAGTAGGGGTTATAAAACAGAGCAAGTAGGGAAAAGTAAGAAGATAGTGAGTTCCTTAGCTCCTGGGGAAGACTGTTTGCTTTTGCAGTCAAGAGTTACAGTCACTTAAATTGTCCTGTTATGTTAACTTTGAGAGTATTTTATTAATATTACAAGTTGTAAAGGTTTGTCATGTGAGACACTGGCTCGTGTCATGTCACCTTCAGCTACTTCTACCAGCTAATGAAATTACTCCTTCACGCCTCTGCTTTTGACGCTGAAGATCATGGACACTCCATCCCTTTTGATGACCCAAGGTAAGTTCATTTACGGATGAGAGTGTCACAGGGAAGTGCTCTAGTGAAGATCAGCATTGGCAGGAAAAAAGTAGGCATGGGTGAGGGATTAGAAGAAGAATGAAATCACCAGGTGCACTGGAGAGGAAGGAGTGGTTCCAGACGTGTTGGGTAGTGTGACAGTAGAATTTGGGTTCTGAAGAAGATGAGGCCAAGGGATCACAAAGATGAGCAAAATTAGCAGAGTAAAAAATGAGCACTGGAGTGTACCACAGTGGCAGAAATATAGGTAGCAGCAGAGTCCCGCAAGCGAGACTGAGACGTTTCAATACAATGTGGTAGGAAATGAAGCAGATTGTTCAACTGTGATATTTTGAGAAACCTAGAGGGGAGCGAGGAAAGAAAACTGCAGTAATCTAGCTGAGACATCACTGACACCTTTCAAATGGTGGCAAATATAATTAAAATGACTCTTTGTGACTACGTTATGTTCCCATTATTGAGGCCAGGATTGTTTCCCCTAATTTTTCTTTTCTATGCAAGATGCTTTGGATTTATCAGACAGACTTTACTCTCTACAGATTAGGAGTTATATTTGAATAAAGCATGCAAGATCCAGTCAAAGTTACTATATTAAAAAAAAAAGTAAATTATACCTCTGATAGTTTCATAGATTTTAAGGCCAAAAGTGAACATTAGGGTGCCTAGCCTGACTTCTGCATAACACATGTCACAGAATTTAATCCAACAACCTGTGCTTGACTAAAGCATATCTTTATATTTTAGATTACTGTTTTTGCATATATTACCATTTTTACTTCCCATTCTACAAAATCTTCATGGTTTGTAAAAAAAATCATTTTACATGAAATTTAATGCTACACTGTGCAAATATAAAATCATAGGGCCAGATCCTCAGCTGGTATAATTCAATGAGGCTCCACAGACTTCAATGAATTGTGCTGATTTACAGTGGCAGAGATTCTGACACCCTTGTTTGTTTATTATTCAAAATCTAAAACCCATTAAAATATAAATGGCACCTTCCACGTGAACTTGAAACTCATGTTTCACTCTCCCCACAGAATTGCTTGCGGTGCACTCATAAGTTCCTTCATCTGCTGCAGATACTTGTTCTATCTTCAAAACCTTTCCAAAACTTTCTGTCACTGCTCTGTCCTTGGGCAAATCTCTACCAGCCTTGATCCAGTTAAGATGCGGAGTTGGGCTAGCAGAAAAAGAAAGAAGATGTTGAGTTTAATTTAAAAAAAAAAAAAAAGAAAGAAGTTGTAACATTTCACATCAGTATAACTACCGAATGTTGAAATTTATACATTTCCCTTTGCTAGATCATGATTTCAGAATTCTCCAAATGGCCCTCCTTTGTGTGCAGAGCTACCCATTTTACTCATTGAAACATCCTGGCTGGAGGTTTGATATGGTCCATAGCTACTGCCTGTTGTTTAAAAGGGACCCGTGTACAACAAATCCTTTGCAGCTGACAGTGGGGCACAAAACAGGTTTGCATCCCTTGTAAACATAGTGGCATGAACTATAGTAGAGGCCCTGAAGCTTGTTTTGTCCTGTTCCATAGGGACTTCTTGCTGACAGACAAGGGGGTAAAGACTTCATTAAAATAACTCCGCTCTGTACTCTGCCTGATTAGATAGGGCTAACCGCATGTCACAGATGGCTGAAAAAGCTACTTTATATTTTTAGAAAGTTAGGAGCGTGCTCAGAACCAGAGACACTGAAGTACAAGACAGATCGCTGTCTGAACATTCCCAGCTGGGTTTCCTGACCCCAGCACCATACATGATGCATATACACAGTGTCATATCTGCTTACTCTTGTGTCCATCTGTTAAGATGGCAAAATGCCCAGGCACAAGCTACTCAAAGCCCCAGGTACCGAGAAATTATGTTCCTTTATGAGCAGCATGGATAATAGTTCAAGTGTCATATTTTCTGCAAGAGAGTTCATCCCTGACACAGTACTGAAACACCGACACTATGAAACCCCTTAAATTTCATCAACACCAGTTTAGATCTTTGTACCATCTAGAGGAGGTTGCCTGCCATTTTCAAGATCAGGGTAAAATCCTCCGAGATCACAAAGTGGCAATATATTTATTGCCATTAATTATTTTTCGATTGACTGGTCCTCATTTTCTGAGTTTGAAACTTGTCTCAATCTAGCCAATCTAGTTCCTCATTGACATTTGCTCACCGCACAGAACAGGGATGAACTGCAGGGATGTACTGCAAGGGGAGGCAGGTTGGGGGAATATACTTAGAGTCCGTCGAAAATTTGTCATTTTTTTTCCCAAAGAAAAGTACCTTTTCGACTACAAGATTTTTTTTTTCCATTTTGGCCTAATTTGTTCATGCTTTGATGTAAATTTGTTTTGTATTTCATCCCCACCCCAACTTTTTTTGTATACTTGAAAGAGGAAGTACTTTTTCTCCCAGGTCATGGGAAATTTTGAATGAAATGTAAATGTAAAGTGTTCATTCCTTTTTAAAATGTTCATGAAGTACACTTTCCCTTTCTCCTACCAGCTTTAATTATTACACGGGGAAAGTTTTATGAGGAAATTTGCAGAACAAGTCCACATACTGTCCTTGTTTCAACCAAAGTGATCGGTTCCTTACATTCCTGAGCATAAAATTTATACACATATTTTTTTTTAAGAATTCATCAACTGGATAAAAAGGAAGTTCACAGGCAGTGAACTAGACATGGATGTATTGCAAAAAGGAACAAGAACCCATTACAGTTACTTGGAATGAATCCAACAGAGATGAGTTGCTCACATGCTCTCAGAAAATGGCAACCAATTGCAAAGTCATAATCTTGTCTAGTCAAAGGGTGAGTGATGCCCTTTCAAACAAGCATGGACAAACAAGATGCCCTGAACATGTTTGCTCAGGCAGATAAACACCCTGATTTTGCAGTTTATAATGGGAGAGAATTGCACATGCTTTAATATGGATCATTTATCTGCTAACCACAGTGAGCACACAAGGATGTGGAGTTCAACAATACAGGTTGTAAACATGATGATTTAAACACCCATTCAACAGAGAGCTCTATCACACATCAACCAGGAGCAAATGTGTTTTCCCTGTTAAGTTTAATGGTTGGAGGGCTTTTAAGCTTTACCTAGTTTTCCTCCCACAACCCTTTTTGGGTAGAAAGTTGCACACATAAGTACAAGGTAAAAAGTGGTGATCAGGATGGAGGGCATAGGTAAACCTGATCCCATGTTGATGAAAGTACTGCTGTACGACTGCCAAGTTACCCCTGCCCACTTGGAGGAATCAGGGCTTAGAGGACTATTCACAGCTAAACGCCACATCATCATCATCATCATGAGGATTGCACTTCAATCATATCTGCTTAGACTTTCCCATTCCCCACTCATTTTCCATCCTGCACAATAAAAAAGATGGCATACCCCTACCTGTATCTATTTGTTGCATCTTGTCTTAGATTATAGATTCTTTGAGGCAGGCATGGTCTTTTTGTACAGTGACAATCACAATGGGGTACTGGGCCAGGACTAGAGCTCCTTGGCACTATGGTATTACCAATACTACTAATAATGGGGTTTGAGATTTCCATTCAATGCAGAGGGCTACGCCTAGGGATTAGTTATGCCTGCATCCATGCATTGAAATTGGCCCAAATTAAACTTGAACACTCCCAAATATGAATCTATATCTAATTTTGCAGATGTCCCTTATCTTTATCATGGGCCAAACAGAAAGCCCTGAATCAAAATGCCCCTAGTCTTTTACTCTGTTGCTGGGTTTGTTTCTGAATGGGCATCATGGAAGGCAAGAATCCTTGTACGATGGTGCTCAGGAAATTGAAATCTCATTGAAGGTGGAAAAGCTCAGGAATTTATTGATACTTAATCAATACTCTGAACTGGCCATGCTAGAAAAGAAAAAAAGGGTGGGTTTTTTTGGAGTCCACACTGTGGAAGTTGAATCAATTCCTAATACACTCAAAAGAATAATAATTTTCAGTGGTCACCATACTGGAACATCTGCAAAACCAGTGATCACAGGATGGATAAACAACTGTGACATGCCAGTTACTATGGTAAATGCTGATTCTTTAGTTATACTTGTCTATAACCTGTACATGACTCACTCGCCAACAGGAAACTTTCTCCATTGTAACTCTATGCCAGTTTTCAAAAAGTACAATTTATTTAAACAGAAATTTGGTGTAAAATTATATACTCTGTTGGAGAATGTATAAAGGTGCTTCCTTTTACTCTAACTTTATTTCAGAAGGTTGTTAAGTGGGTCCAGTACTCACAGCCCTTCAGCAATGCATTCAAGTAGTAGAACTCCCCCTTTGATGACAGTAACTGATGAGCTGCTACCAGAAGATTCAGGTGGTATCAGTATTTTGGGTTTTCTTTCCTTGATGAAATTAGCTAAAAAAGAGAAAAGAAAAGGGTCAGACTTTGTGAAGTAAGGTGATTACATATGTCCCTGAATCATTCTGTACCCTCTAACCAGTGCTAAAAATATTGCTTTGGTCAGAAGATTTCTGGAATATTCATTCATTCATTCATTTTATTTATATTTGTGGTATTTTTCTAAAAGACCTACCTAGGGCTCTGTTTTTTACTTACATTCAAAACACAACTATAGTAACAGGAATAAAATTAGAACCTTCTCTTCCTCAAAACCATAGCCCTGAACCTGCAAACCCTTAAACAAATACACAACTTTACACTCATGGAGTTCCTTTCCATCCAGCTTTCAGGGCTGGGCAGTGGCTAGGCTAGAATCATACAACAGTGGGGGATTCTTTCTCTGGCTGCTACTGTTGGTGTCTTAAAGAGGCAGATCAACCCAGAAGATGTTCAGGGGGAGGCTAGTCCTGAATTATGCTGGTACAAGAGCTCCTGGTTGCTGACGATGTTGGTTGGGAGATGTCACTCTTAAAAGGGCCAGAGTTGCAGCTGCACTAGTATGACTCCCAAATGGTATAGGGTGAAGGGGTGTGTCACAAGGGAGCTGGTCCCTCTGAGCAGAACTGGGCCCAACTTCCCTGGGTCAGAGCAGGTGAGCCAATTAAAGGGACCTAAGCTATCCCTGTGCCTATTAAGGGTTACCAGAAGGGAGGAAATGGGAGATGGAAGGGAATGACTGGGACAGGCCATGCCTAAGAAAAGGAAGGAAAACCATGGTGGAGTGCAGCTAACTCCTGTGATGGGTCCCTGGAGCAAGGGTCTCAGGGCAGCAGCCGTGGGGCTCTTGCTCCAGGAAGGGAGCAGAGCTGACTAGGACTGGGATGCTGCCAGGAACAGGAGCACCAGAGACTCCAACGAGAGGTGGCTTGGAAGCCTGAGAGAAAAGGAGAGTTAAAAGGCTGTTCTCTGTTGTTTTACTTGCCTATGGTAAGAGGCTAAACCATCCTAAAGGAGACTGGGTGTGGCAGCGAGTTTTTGGAAGCTGGGAAGAAGCTGGGTGACAGGGTGGCTGGGCCAGATGCTCTGTTCCAACTCTGCTGAAATCTCTTCTAATCCCTCCAAACGAAGATCCAAGTCCCATCTCTCCAGCTGACAGCCTAAGAAGAATTCGGCTTCCCACCTCACATGCCCTAAGAAGTGTGCTTCATCCTCAGACAACCTCCCTGGTTCCCAGTCAATTTTAAGAACCAGTTCAGAATTTCCTGCCATGCCTTGAAAAAACTCTATCGTGGATTTGCTCCAGCCTCTCTCATGGACCTTTCTTCTATTATCATGCCTGCTCAGCTAGTATTTGCCTTCTCTCTGCTTCCTTATTTCTCCCCTCACCCACACACTCTGACCAATGGTGGTGAATGAGCGTTTCCCTTGTCTGTTCTTGCCATCTGGAACAGTCTTCATGTCTTTCCGCTTCACTAACTTTATATCGTCTTCTAAATCTCAGCCGAAATCATATATTTTGTCCTTTGCCAGCAACTTAGAATTCGCCTTCCCTCTACAGTTGCAGAATTTACAACAACTTACGAATGCATTTGGGAATATAGCTTGAAAACAAACCACTGTTCATAACAAAACTCCTTTTTACTGTCCTGGGTTTCAGATAACCATTTATTCTAGACTGTCAACAAAAACTCAGTTGTTTCTTTGACAATACATTTTAACCATTTATATTGTTAAATGGCTATTCAGTAATAATCAATAGCCAATATGTCATTCAAATGTTTACTGATTCTTGAAGAAAAGCGATTTACTGATAATTTGGTAATAAATCATTTCTATCTTACAAGCCAGTTTTCTTCTCCCCTTCTTTAATTTCTTTGGGTCTCTTTGTACAGTATGTACTACACAGACCAGTGAGTACATGTGCTGTACACAAATGTTCGCCCACATATGCCTAGATTTTCAGACATGAATAGCATTCTTGGGTGTCCAGCATGAGACACCTGAAAAGGGCCTGATTTTCAGAAACTGTTCAGCATTAGTCCTCTGAAAAATCAAGTCCCTCTCAGGTGTTCTTAGTTGGGCACTCCAGAAACTGAGGCACTCAAAATCACTGGTTAGTTTTGGAAATGATGGACTTAATTTTAAAATATATTCTCTCTTGATAACCATGTTTGGGGAAAAATAAGGTATTTGGTAGAACGGGGTGGAAAATAGACTTTCCATCTCATGAAAAGTTTTTGTTTTGTACCCGAATTGGAACAAAAAGCCATAGTTTTGATTTTTTTCATAAAATGAAATACCTCCCAAAAATATCATTTTGAGTCACTTGAACCATTTTTTTTCACTAAACTGACCCCCCCCCCCCCTTTTTTTTTATATTGACGCTTTATGGTTCAATTTGAAAAAAAATAAAGTAAATTTAGAAAAAAAAAGTTATAATACATAAAAAAACCAAAACTTTGAGATCGAAAACTATGAAAACAGGGCATTTAAACATTTCAATAGCTTTTTCCTTTAAAAAACAAACAACATTTCCTCAAAATCAATCGATTTTGTGAAAATGTTCAGTTTTGTCAAAACAGCATTTTCCAGTAGAAAACTTTCATTTAAAATCTTCCAACAAGCCCTAGTATTTGGGTTGAGAATCCAGATATATTCTCAAAAAGAAAAGGAGTACTAGTGGCACCTTAGAGACTAACCAATTTATTTGAGCACAAGCTTTCATGGGCTACAGCCCACTTCATCGGATGCATCTGATGAAGTGAGCTGTAGCTCACAATAGCTTATGCTCAAAATAATTGGTTAGTCTCTAAGGTGCCACAAGTACTCCTTTTCTTTTTGCAAATACAGACTAACACAGCTACTACTCTGAAACCAGATATAATCTGTTAGCTACACACCCTTATCAGTTCCATCCATATTTTCTGCTATTGTTACATGAAACATCACGGCATATTCTAACACTATCTGGTCATCATAGTTCCTTCGTGATTTTTTTAGTCATCTAGCTTGAAGCTCCTCCCCTTGAAATCACTTTCTTGATCAGCAAAACTGCCAATTCTGAAAAATACTTTCTATTTGTCAGGACCACTTCTCTGAACGCTTTATTTCACATGGAAGAGAGATGCAGTAATGTTAAAAATCCTTCAGACCTCAGTCAAGATAGTAAAGACTGAGTCAATACTGATGCATGTATTCCTTATACCCAGCAAACATGTTAAAATTATTTCCTAAGCAGTAACAGTATTTCATCTAAATTGATACAATATTTCATTTTCTAAAATTTCAGATTACCCAACACATTAAGTAGCTCTTAAGTATTCTCATTGTGAATTCAAAGGCAAAGAAACAAACAGGTACACTCACCCTTAGTAACAGCAGCATTAGGTGAGCTTGAGTCATTAGTATGTTTAACTGAAATAAACAAAAATGAAAACCAAATGCAAATGGAATAGTTGATATAGATTAAAAGGTCAAAAACAAATAAAACATCAACCAAACAAAAAAAAAAACTACACAAAGTATTTTCTTAAAGGAAATGTAAATATATTTTATATAAAACCACCAAAACACTATAATGCAAATCAACACAGACAATGAATTTCTGTATGTATAAAGAAAACAATAAAAAGATGTAAAACTCAGGAACTCTAGATTCACTAGAAAGCGATTTTATCAGTTATGTCGAATAAGATTGATAGGTTCCTAGCATTCATTAAAAGATTCTATCCTTAATCCTTTCTCCTTTGTTATTTATCTGCTTCTTCCTGCTCTCAGACACAATGCCTCAGTAGGGGCACTTACGCATTTGCTTCACTTTAAGTACATACATAGTCCCATTGACTTCAACAGTAATGTGCATGTACTTAAGTGGTTTGCTGCCCTGAGGCCAGAGTGTTCCAAAGCCTGCAGGATGAAGTCCTCTAGTGTGTCTGTGACTGGAGACATTTAAACATCTATAGAATGCGATATCTACTTCTGATATTTTACTTACAATTAATATCCTAAAACATAGCACCATAGTTCATAGAAAAGTAGGTTTGGAAGGGACCTTGTAAGGCCATTTAGTGCAGTCCCCATTGCTGAGGCAGGATCAAGTATACCTAGATCAGTGGTTCTCAAGCTTTCTAGACTACTGTATCCCTTTCAGGAGTCTGATTTGTCTTGCATACCCCCTCAAGTTTCATCTCATTTAAAAACTGCTTGCTTCTAAAATCAGACATAAAAATACAAAAGCGTCACAGCACACTATTACTGAAAAATTGCTTCCTTTCACATTTTTACCATATTATTATAAAATAAATCAATTGGAATATAACTATTATACTTACATTTCAGTGTATAGTATATAGAATAGTATAAACAAGTCATTGTATGAAATTTTAGTTTCTACTGACTTCGTTAGTGCTTTTTATGTAGCCTGTTTTAAAACTAGGCAAATCTCTAGATGGGTCTCTGCATACCCCGACTGATCTACACCACCCCTTACAGGTTTTTGTCTCATTTATTATTCAAAATCTCCAATGACAGGGACTCTACAACCTTCATTGAAAGCCTATTTCAGTACTTAACTATCATTACAGTTAGAGAGTTTTTCCTAATATCTAATCTAAGTCTCCTGTGCTTCAGATTAAGCTGATTACCATTGTCCTACGTTTAGTGGATATGGAGAAAAAATTATCACCATCTTCTCTATAAGAGCCCTTAGCATATTTGAACACTGTTATCAAGTCCCCACTCAGTCTTCTTTTCTCGGGACTTAACATGCCTAGGTTTTTGGTTTTTTTTTAATTTTGCTCATCATTCAGGTTTTCTAAACCTTTTATCATTTTTGTTGCTCTCCTCTGCACTCTCTCTAATTTGTCCACATCATTTTTCAAGTGTGGCACCCAGAACTGGACACAATACTCCATCTGAGGCCTCCAGATGGATTAACCAAGTATTAAGGTATATGAACTTAGTATTATTAATTATTTATCTGTTTACCCCAACAAGAAAATATACCACTTGTAAATTAAATATTGAGGCTTTAATTTAGGAAGAAAATATCCCTGATTTTTTAGGAAACATAAATCCCCCAAAGTCAGATATTATTGAAACCAGAAGGGTGACTTAAAGGGCACAGCCAGCTTAAAATAATATATATTCTCAATTGATTTTTAACATAATTATTCTTGCAAGTGACACTTAAAATTATTGCAGCTGAATGAGTCAAGCAAAATGGGAAAGATCTTCAGCTGGTGGAAACTGTCATAGCGCCACTGAGTTCAGTGAAGCTTTGATTACCGCAGCCTGCGAATGTGGCCTACCATATTTTCTCTGCTTTTCTTTGTGTTTGTTTGACTTCCTTCAAAAGCACAATCTCACTGTTTCCTGTACATTCTGTATATAGAGTCACTTTGTTTCCTTTGTTGTTTGGTTTGAACTTTGATACACAAAAAAGAGTAAGCAAAATAAATATATAGGAAAATGTAAATGTAAAACCATGACATTGGCAGTGGGACTTAGGTGCAGGTACAGTATCTGAAACAACCTTTTTCTCACTTTTGGGAACTGAACAGATCTGAAGTATCTGGTGTTCTTTTAATCTGCAAAAAACTGGGTAGCTACAATGCCCACGAGTCAGAAAATGAACAGCTCCATGTCTCCTACTCACCCTTTCAATCAGGAAATGCATGGCATATTATGCTCAATTCCTTTGTGCTTTTTACTTCTTACTAGAGGCAGCCATGCAAACAAGTTTTCCTCTTGCTCTAGAGTAGGAGTACATTTCCTATGATTGGGAAAGTATTGACACCCAGTTCTCCTCTCCCAAGGTCATGAAAGTTGATGCTTTTGTACCTTATAAAATAATGGGGTTTATGAGGCTTTTTTCTAAACAACAGGTGATTTTGTGCATTTAGAGACGGAGGGACCATTCATGACTTCTGTTGATTCTACCTTCTCTTGAGCTCCTATCAGAAGAGGGCAGGGATAATCTTCTACTGTTTGTTCAGTTCCTCTCACAGTGGGGCACCATCCTTGGCTGGTGCTTGGGCACTACGGTAATATACTGATTACTATTAATAGAAGTGAAGACAAATGGTACCATTGGCTCTCCATGGCTGAGCTCAGGAACAGACTTGTCAGATACAAACCAAGAACTCTAGGCTATGGCCATTTTGAAGTTCTCTAATACCCAGTCAGCCAAGCAAGAACCTTGTTGCATAACAGGACACCTGGAGTACTCCCTGATCATGTTAACTGCAGCTCCCTAACGTCATTCTCTAGAGCCCAATTGCCATATCCAGACAAACCCATGCCCGGGGGAAGAGGCAGTATGGAATGCCTAATCATCCACTCAGTGGCTGAGAAGGGAGTTGGTTTCCCTGATGCATCATGATTAGATTTCATAACTGTGGAGAACAGAAGGAAGAAAATAGTGCTTTTGCAGCCCAGCAACTGCAGAAGCTTTTTATCAGTTGGATCTAGCTCTCAGAGTAAGACTTATAATATAGGAATAAGCGTATTAACATGTATTTTGTTCAGAGAGAATCATGTTAGACACATGCCACATATTTTCATTCAGTGACAAGGGGGAGTTAAAACAATTTTTAAAAGACTTACTACGTGTAACCATCAGTGTCATTGGCATTTTCTGTACAATTGTCCGCAGCCTGGGAAATGCTGCAAAGCAACAATAATCGCTTCGACTGTCATTTTCTTCCACATTTGCGAAGTATAGATCTCCCTTAAGGCTCATGGAGACCCTTTCATCTTGTGGAATGTGTTGTAAATCTAGCAAGAAAAAAATATTATAATACGGTTATGATATCCTGCCATCCCCCAATATGACTATTTACACCTCCTGTCATGTGTTTGCTTTCAGGTGCAGAATAGAACTTTGATGTAAAAGAGGAAGGAGGTGCAACATAACCATAATCTCTGTGTCCTTTTACAGCCATGGGAATGGGAGTTTATGAAACAAGAACCTAGGTAAACTTTCTACAGAAACAGCATGAATTCTCTGGAAAGTCAGTTTTGTTCATTTACTTTAATTCTGTAATTACTAGGGGATGATGCAGTGAAAATCCCACCAAGTTTCAATGCTACAAAGGCTTACAACACTGCCACCGATGCCTTGATTTCTAGGTTTCCACCGTGCAGAACCCCAACTTATCTTCCCTGTAACTACACCTTATAGTATGTAACTACTAGACCATGCAAAGGTTGTGTTGTCTCATTGTCAAACCAGCCAAATGTAGAATGAGAGCAGCTGTCTATCTATCTAGTCTGGAATCCTGTCTCTGATAGTGATAACTCCTAGGGGTGAAATCTGAGTCCCACCAAAGTCAATGGGAGTTACGTGGCCAAGATTTCACCCTAGACATTTAAAGAAGAATGTGACAGAATCCCCTAAAATAGCCAATTATGCAATAACCAGACAACAGAAGAAGGTTATTCCTAATCTTGTCAGTTAAGTTGGCTTGCCTTCTGAAGCAGGATGGTTTATATTACTGGTATATTTTATCCACTTTACTGTAACTGAATGTTCTGATTATCTGTGTGTGTCTAGCCCTTTCTAAAACCCTGTTGAGCTCTTGCACTCAGTGTTATCTTGTGGCAATGAGTTTCACAGGTTAATTGTTATGTTAAAAAGCATTTTATTTCATCAACGTCAATGTTTTGCCTTTCAGTTTCATTGTATGTACATTATGAAAGGTGCAGAAGATGACCTGATTCACCTTTTTGTACCATTATTACCAGTACCTTTCCATGTGTCTAACCATTCTTATTACCTATCTCTTAAATCCCTCTGCTATATCCTTTTTTCAGATGGAATGACCAGAACTAAACAAAATATTCATATTGAGGGTAAACCTTTGATTTATGTAATGGAATTATAACATTTTAAATATTGATTTATATCCCATTCTTTAAAAAATTCTGGCAAAAGTCCCATGTGACTTCATGGGGTCTGAATTTCAATCCTGATAATACTGCTTGTTCTTTTGATTGCTGTTGTACATTAAATAGAGGCTTTCACTGAGTAGCCTACAATGCCATCCATATATTTTTCCTTAGTGCTTACACTTTTAATTTTCATCAGTTATGAATCTGTAATGAAACTGATCTTGATAGGCATTTTAAGAAAGGCCTGTTATGTGTTGTGTCATCAAATGTTACTTACCAATATTCATCCAATAGATATGCAAAGGTGGAATTCCTCTGGGAGGATTACAGTGCAAAACCACAGCATCACCATACTCTACCTCAATTGGCTCAATCTTTTCTTTTGGGAATTTTGGTACACCTATGACAAAAAGAAACAGTTTCCTTCATTTTCTTATCCTTAGCCCCCTTTTATGCAAACAGCACATCTACCCCATATCCTTCCTTTTGTTCTCTGTATTAAGTAATATTATTATGCGCATAAAAGCAAAAATTGGCTTGGCATTTTTTGAAAAAAGAGCAAGACGACAAGATCCCAGCAAAAGAGTCTGTAATACACAAAGAACAAAGGAATTAGTGTAAATAAAGCAAAGTAATGGTGATGTTAAGGGGAAGTCTGGCATAAAATCTGCATGTATGACTCTACATCAACCCATCCTGGTACACATTTTTCCTCTATCCTCCACTACTCGGGGGCATGCTGGAGGCTAGCAAGGGCAGGACTGTGGTTTGATGATCCTCACTGGCATAATGGCTCCCAGGCAGTGCAACTTAAGGCAGTGCAACTTAGAGCAGACTTTAGGCAGCTTCTATAACTTGTGCAAGGGGCTGGCTTGGTGCTCAGTCAGCCCCAGAATTAGAAGAGGCAGAAAGGTAGTTTAGGGTGATCTTTGCTTCCCCCTCTCTCAGGTGTGCAAGCTTTGCTGTGGCACAGCTGCAGACTGCCCCTACATAATCTTTAGGGTCTGATCTTGCTATCCTTGTACATGTAAGCAGTCCTTTTGACTCACATGCACAAGGGCTAATGGATCTAGCTCTTAAATATAGACCAGTTGATCCAATAGTTTAGGACCTGATTCAATGGCCAAAATTCCCTGAAGTCAATGGAAACCCACAAGGACTGCGTATAAAGGACAGGAACAGCAACCAGCCCAGCTGCAAACAGAAACAAAGGACTGTATCTTGTTTATCAGTCTCATGCGAGCACCCCCACTGAAGGCACTGGTGCTACATCCACAAGTAAGGTGAGTAAGATTTGATCCTGGAATGAGCCTAGAGAAGCCACAACTCAACAAACAAATTCATTTGTTAAATATAACCACTCTTTAAGCAAACCAAGTTGAGACTGCTTCAGGGCAGACACTGAATCCTGCTTACATTTGAGGCAAGTTAAAACTGGTGGAAGGTGCAATTCTGTCAGTTCAATACATAATTAAGCAATAGTAAAAGAATGAAATAATCATGGCTACCAAGAGCCAAAGGGATATATTAAAAAGTGCCAGCTTTGCACACCAGTTATTAATGTGAACTCCAGTGCAATGCAACTGTATATTATATCACGTTTAAATGTCAAAGCTCGTCTGTGCCAGATCCTCAGCTGATGTAAATCAGTACAACTCCACCAAATTCAATGGGTTGTGCTGATTTACACCATCTGAGGATCTGGCCCATGGTCTAGGAGTAGGTTACAATTAAGGAACTGAATGATTATTGGGGATTTTACATACAAATATTACGAGATAGATTGAGACTGGTATGTGTAGTTCCATAACGAAGCAGGATGCAGGACCTACCTGCATCTTAAGTTTGGGTGCAGAGGAGAAAACAGAGGCTGTGTGCCTGATACTTCCTGCCCCACTCTGAGTAAGTAGCTGGGAGGAATTAGGGGAGAGAAACATGTGGGGCCACCTCCCTGCAACATGTATGCCAGCAGATCTGGCATGCTGTGGCTCCAAGAAGTGTTTCTGAGTTACAGTTTCTTCTTAAATTCCTTCTGTGGTAACACTAGCTAGTCTGAACTGGAACAATTACAACATGATGTTGATTGCTTGAGTAAGAATGGTGTATAGATATTACTGGCCGAAAGGAAGGCATTACTCTGCCATAAGATAAAATGGAAGGAATGTTCTCACACTTACCATGGATCATGAGAAATTATATCTACCAGTCTTCTATTGGCAGAGAGATTAACAATTTTAAAAATCTCCAGTTTATAAACTGAGTAAGGGTCCCTAACAAGCAGTAAAATGGAGATCCCATGAATCTCACCCACTTCATGAAGGACAACAGCGAGAATACTACAGCTAGCTTCCTTCCCATAGCTTCTTCACTCCTTAAGCCCTGCAAGGTACACCCAGTGACAATTCCCGTTCCTGCCAGGTACACATATTAGGCTGAAATTTAGGTCAGCTTCCAACCGATTCTCTTGCTGAGGCCCTCTCTGTCTAATCAGCTGGAAGGCAAAATTTTCCTACATTCTGTGTTCGGGGAGTTATTAAAAACTAAAAAAGCTGATTATATTGTTACCCCTTTGTGACCCAACCAGCTACTCAAATGTGGTACCCTGTGGGTTGTTTTATTAAGAGAAACTGTTGCCAGTCCGTTATTTCTTTGATGCAATCCCGATACAAGAAGAAAACAACAGGAGATAGACTTGGAACGGTGAGCCAAGAAACTCTTTCAGCCAGCACTTAAGCCAGAAGCTCTCTTTTATCTTTTTCTCAGGGACACACTATCAGAGCTTTTCTGTCTGGTGCATGCACACACGCACAACCCTACCCCAGTCATTGTCCTGCCCCGGTGTTTGTTATCAGCTTTAGTCAGCCTGGCCAGACCACTGCCTAGGCTTGTCATGCTGGTGCAGACCCTGGACATTGCTTTCCATTATTTCATTTATCAGTATAGCCCGGGTATTGAATGGTTCCCACATTTAGCCTGAATAGACGTTGCTTAGTACACCCATCAACCCAACCATCAACTCCGTGATCTATGCAGCCACCAGCACCTCTGCGCATAACATTATCTTAAGAACTGGCTGTGCTATATCACTCCTAAGCGCATATAGGTGTGCAACTTTTTTGCAGTATTCATCATTTTAATTCTTGGACATTATGTAATCAATTGCTACTAATTTGTGGCTGATCACAGAATCTATAATAATTGAGCTAAGCTGGTAAGTGGTTCTGAGCTCTATGCAAGACGTACTGCTTCATGATAGATTTTGAAATTGCACGGAGTTATCCATACAGCACATGGATAATGTGAAATTGGAAATCAATCAATCAGTTTGCCATGACATCTACAAAAAAAGGTCATGTCGATATTACAGGCAACTGCCTACACACGGACATAAAGAGCAGGGCCAGACAATCTTTCATAGCTCAAGGTACTCCATCTCACATTTTCATTACCCAGGGGGAGAACAAACTTGTATAATGGGCCTCCGAATGACCTGTTGAAATGCCAGCAGGTGGATCCTATCAAGGCTCAGACAATCCATTGGCAGGAAAAAAAAAAAGAGCCACATGATGAAAAATTATCCACCTGCATTCTGCCTCTTATGGAAACATTTCCCAGAGCACACTGTGATATATAACACACTCAGAACTGTCTTGGGAATGGTTCTTCATGCCACATTTTAATTCCTGCCGAAGTAATATCTTGAGTTCTCTAATACCAAAGTGTCATTAAACTGTGAGACATATAAGGATCAAAATTATATTGGTCTGTGCCCAAGTTCTCTGCTTGTGACTGATGGTGACCCAAGCAGTGACAAATTGTTGTTTTCAGTGCCCTTTCACTGTTGTGAACCTGGGTATATCCAATCCCTAGAGTGACTTGCGATTTAATGACCATACACTACTGGAAAACTCAAGATTAGAGTTGAATGTTTTGAAATACCACTGATAAATGGGACAAGGGAGAGGAAAAATTCAGCAACTGTCTTGTGGATCCCTGCTCCTATTTTCCCATGTTCAGAAAATTCAAAATCTCAGTGAAAAATTAGGAGGAAGGGGGAACTATGTAATCTTATGCTAAAACTAATGAGTGTTTTTAGTATAGATACTGGGCCTGAATCTGTTCCGTTTCCCTGGTATCAACCTGAAGTTACATAGGTCATTTCACTACACTCCAAACTTTAGTGGGATTAATCCAGATTTACTCATGCTTAGCCTGCACTTAATGATATGTCAGCATAGTTTCATTAGTCAGGGGTGTGAAAAAAAACAAATACCTAGTGACAGCCATGCTGAAAAAATCCACAGCGTTGGAGCAGCCGTGTTGACAGAAGAGTGTTTCTGTCAACTTGGCTAATGTTATTCAGGGTGGTGGCATTCCAACACACAAACACACTTCTGTTGGTGCAGAACGCTCTCTAAACTAGGCACTATATCGACACAGATATACTGACATAGGCTTCATGGTGTAGACAAATTCTCAGTGTAACTGACAGTAGAATTTGTCCCACTGTTTAGAGAAGGATGCAATTAAGGTACCTGATTCTACTCTCTTACACTGGTTTTACGTGGTTATCACTCCACTGACTTTGTGGATTTACACCTGTGTAAGTGAGAAGAGAATCAGAAAGGCCCACTGCTTGTTTTTTGCATTTGAAGCCAGTGTGGAGTCAGGGAAGCTAGCACTGGGAAGTGTGCTGGAGAAGCATGCACTGAGGAGATTCTCAGATGCAATTCAGCCAGTGAATGAGTCTTTCTATGCAGGTATATGGTTATATATGTTCCCCTCATAGAAGGACTCATTCATTGGCTCCTCCACCAGGTTTATACCCACTTTGCACCAGCAGACTAGCGAGAGACAGAGAGAGCGAGCGTGCACGTGTGCACACACACACACACACACACACACACTGTTGTTGCCCAGTCTTGAGTAAGAGCTGCTAAGGGGACAATGGCCAGGAGATCTCTATTCTCTGGCAATCCCCAATACCCAGAGCATTCCTTGGCCATTGATAATCAGCAGTAATTAGAGCAGCCCTAAGGTTGATCTTCTTTATGCCAGGGATCAAGCCAGTGGCCAGCAAACCAGAGGGACATAAATATGACTTATAACTTCCTTCCACCTGCACTGTGCTGAGCACAGCTTGGACACAGCCTGAGATCTGTCTCAGTGTATCAATTTCAGTTCTGGCTTGTGCCGTTTGGAGTTAAATTAGCAATTCTCATTACAGTCTTTGAACTGTTTACAAAGGATGATTTTGCTAATTTATGGAATGATTTCTAATTTCCACACTAAACTGACTAATGTAATGGCTGGCTGTCAATCTAGGAAGGTATCTTACTATGGGATAGATGCTAGTCCTTGCCTACATGGAAGGTTTTCGCTATTACCCTTTCCCAAGAAGAAGGGTGTTTATCCCCATAAATGACTTGGCGACTGTTAGAATAATCACAGTGAATTAGTTGGTAAACTGGGGTGACCAACAGGACTGGGTTCTATTCCTGGCTCGTGCACAAACTGCTGTGTGACTTTGCTCCACTACTTAGCCACTCTGTTTTCTCATCTGTAAAATGAGGATAATATTGATCATTCACCTTTGTAAAGTGCTTTAATGCCAATTGTTATTTTAGCTCAACTCAAGAATCCTTTTGGTCTCTTCACTACAGAATTCAGTATGCCTTTTCAAATTTTAGATAGAGGCTTTGACTTCTAGGTGGACTGTGCAATCGATAACGTGAGATACTGTCCGTGAATTTATTTCTTGGTTGATTTATTTTCATGCTATGCTTTCATTCTGTAGTTTTAAGTGTTTTAAGGAAAGTAATTATAAATATACTTTAAATGGATCTTGTGTACATTTCACCAAGGAAGCGGTGTACCTTGTGATCAATTAAATATAAGGTTTAAATTTCTAGTCCTAATTCAATTTCTCCTTCTGACATTGGGCACATTCAATAATTAAAGTAACAGAATTATAAGTTCAGTAGTACAGTGGTTGTTGTCTGCATCCTTGTTTTATTATGGCATTTAATATGTGTCGCACTATATAATCTGCACTGCCTGTTTCACTTAATTGTATATGGACACTAATCATACACATATGCTTAGATAAACATGCATTGAGATTCTACTATAGTTCTTGGTCAATTCAGTTAAATACAATAAAGGGAATGGAAATCTACTTCTAATATAAGCACCCTTATTGCAGTGAAGAAAGTCTTGTCCAGCACATATCAAGCTATCCACATGTCCTGTCTCAACTACAGGTTCCAAAATTCAAGAAACAGGCATCAATTAAGAAAAGTGTTCTGTTTTTATATATTTAAGTAGCTCTTCTTTTGGAATCAAAGTCAATGGATCACCAGAATATCAAAAGACTTTGCACTGCTGGAGGTGACATACTTTAGAAGGGACATAAAACTGACGTCCTCACCATTTGGGAAATTAAAGGGCCCCCGGCAGTCTTCTTATGAGTAGTGGTATCACCCCAGTGCCCTGGCCAGATTCCAAAGTGAATAATTGTGTTCTGCCTAGAGCTTTGAATGGCAATGTTGCTCTTTTCACTCTGCCCAAAATTATTGGGTGTGTCCCCTCCAGTAATGACTAGGTCATTTTAACTCACACCATGACATTCAGTTCAGTTCAACTGAAAATACAATTTGAAGTCAAACTGTTGTGCAGTGCTGATGAGTTACACCCCTAGAGGCTGCTGAAATTTAGTGATGAGTGAAATAATTCCTATATATATGCACCTGACCTTTGTGGCCAGTGTGTCATGAGGCTTAATTGGCTAGCTAGTGTATAGAGCACACCTCTCAAGAAAAAAGGTATCCATAAAAGCTGGTCAGTAAAAAGGAAACCCTGGGAGACTCCTCTCATGGATTTCATTTCAGAGTACACAATCAGGAAAGAATCTCCCTGAAAAGGAAGAAGTTCCATAGACTCCATGAAGTCCACCAAGGACTTCACTGTTGTTCCTGATTTTATGCAGAAGGTGCTCAGGTACTATGAGTAAAAGCAGCAGTATAAAACCAGAGACAGATAGAGATTGAGACAGGGAGAGAGAAACATTTTATCCCCACAGAAAGATCAAGAGGTTCTGCTCCCTGTGTATCTTGGGGGATCTGCCCCAACACAGAACAGTTTATGTGGACTCTCTGTCCTGGCTTTGGCTCTCCTTCCCAGACTTTCTAAGCTTCTGTGACAGCACAGTTCCCATGAAGCCACGTTGCTAGGCTTTCCCCTATTTATAGCTGCCTTTAGATCACTTCTCAGTAGATGTTCCATGGCACAGAAGGAGGATGCCAGAAAAAATAATAGCCTTAGGCTGCATAAACTTTTCTACAGGGCTGGTAGACGGATGATGCATGTTCCCTATTGTCTTCTACCTCTGCACTCAAATGGCCAGAGATACTGCCAAGGAGATAGGTGACCACTCCCTTCCATGGCAATGCTGAAATCAGCATCTGGAGGGCCTCCATCACATGCAGATCTCAGCAGGACCCATTGGCCCTATGTCTGTCAAGTGCTTTGGGATCTTTTGATAGAGGAAGCTGTAGAAATGCAAAGTACTAAGACTGGTGGCATTGAATGAGCAAAACTGCTGTTTTAAACACAGTACAAAAAACTGCTATGACTTTTGTGAAAAATAAAAAGAGAAGGCATTCAAAAGGTGTTTATTTTCATAGCCTCAGTAGAGAAATAATAGTCAAGTCAAAGCAAATCATTTTCTGCCACCAAACACTCAATTCTCCTGAGGATGCCATTAAAAAAGCCTGTACTAACAGCCCTGCTGGCTTATTCTCTAGAGATAAAGCATGGTGAATTCTATTCAGCAAGTATCAGTGAATAATAAATGCTCTCCAAATTAATATAGCTATGAAAATATGTACATAATTTACCCAGTTCCTTGTAAATTAAAGTATTTGGGGAATGTTTTTTAGTATTTGTACTAGAAAACTTAGAAGGTACTGATGGTTCAGTGGTAATATCTTGAACTTCCATGCTATTTACTCAGATTTGGTAATTAATTCCTAGCAAACAGGAGTTGGGAATGCTGTGGAACAAACTTAGTGAGTTAGTGGGGAGAACAGAAGTGCCTCATACCACTCAATAGCAAGTGGCTGGAGCAATTACGAAGTAGTTAGGGATATGCGGGACTACCACATCAGGATTCCCAGATTACAGGTGGTTTCTTGAGGTGACCCGCTATTAAAAGAGTCTGAAATCAGTTCTGAGGCCTGTACAAAGTCATCACATTGGGACATTATATCTCAAGAGGGATGATGGTTTGACACAATGTCATTATGTTGCACCATGGTGGTGCTTGGGCACAACATGATGACAGCCCTTTAAAATGTCAGAATGCTGCATTGCAAGGGCCTGTCAAACTGACTCACAACTGTGGCTAACTTAGCTCCACAGGAAGTCTTGGTTAGGAAGTCTTGTGGTTAAACAGAGAAAAACCTTGAAGGTTTCTTAGGGCTCCCTAAGAGATATGGAGGACAGTAGGGGAAATATGAGACATTCTGAAAATTAATAACTATAGCTTTCAGTTTCACTTTTTAGGCTGCTATGACCATGGCACACTAGAATAAATAAATATCATAGCATGCCGTATATGACAACCACCTTCATTGTTATACTGAGATAACATCTAATATTCTCTCCCTTCATTAAAATTTTGACTAATATTGCTGGCAATCAATCAATCAATCAATCAATCAAAATGCATTGAGCACCAATAATATTAACCACGAATATTGTAACAGTGATATAGCCTAAACCAGCCTGTACCATAATCCTATTCACTTATGCTAAGTATCCCATAACACCTTGCATTTGCTGAAGTAAGCATTTGGCACAAGCAGCTAGGAATCTTGTCAAAATCAAGATACATCTGTTCTGTGTCTTAGTACAAGCTAGGGATATACCGTCACAGATTATTACCTGGAATGCTAGTATCCAAAACAAAGGTAACGAAGGAACAGAAGAAAAGGTTAGGGAACTGGAACAAACTGATGAGTTGGATTTTAGTGCTGTAATTTATAAAAGCATTTAAATAATATCAGCTGAAATGTGTAACTTGGGGAATATACCTTCTGCATAAGGTGAATGCAACATCACTGCACGGGACTGTTCTTTGGAGACTGGTATCATATCAAACCTTTCTCCTGTACCATATTAATAAAACTGACTAACATTGGTTATTTGGTCTTGATTATATTTCATGAAGAAATAATGAACCAAAGTGTGGTCAAGCAACTGACTATGCAATTTATCAATAAAAAGAAACACAGCATTTCATTTGAGAAACTTACTTGGAACTATTATTTCGATTTCTTCTGACATGGCAGTTCCCAGTTCATTTGAAGCATAACAACGGTATTTCCCTTGAAAATCAGCTATGATCCCCTGATTTTGGATCACAAAGGTTCCTGAATTTCTGGATGCAATTATTCTGGGGTCAGATAGTAGACTGAATGGTTTCTCATCTTTAGTCCAATTAAAACTGAAAGGTAATATAAACATTAAACATAAGGCCTTGGAAAATAGTGTGCTTTAGTATAAGCATAATGGTAATCAAGGACCCAATCCTGGCTCATTACAGTGAATGGCAAAATTCCCTTTGACTTTTACAGTGCTGGATCAGGCCCCAAGGGAAATGTAGCTAACGTTAGCTATGGGGCACATCTCTCCTATTGAGCACGCTACCTTGAGATACACTGACTGTGACACAAAATATTAATTGAGGGCTGAAGGCAAGGACAATAAATGAAAGTCACAGTCTCAAAATACTGGCCACAATGAAAGAAACTACAGAATTTGGATTAGAACCAAAGCTATAGAAAACTTGGTGCTGTTCGTTGGGAGGGGTCCATACAAACAAACAATTTCACTGGTTCTGTCTTATGTAGATTTGAAAAAATTAGTTGAATCCACTGAATTTCCCTTGGTTTGCCACATAAACATGAGATGCTTCAAGTGGCCTTTGGTTTTGACACAAATCTCAATTTGGGTGTGATTTTGACACAAACCCATAACTTTACCTACCTTATTTACCCATACTCAATCCAAGCTGGTTTGAAACTGGGGCAGGTGCATTCAGAAGTTGAGTTGGTCGAAAAATTTCCAGTTGAACAGTTTTTCATTGGAAAAAGCAGTTTCATTGAAATCTAAACATTTTGCAGGAACACGTTTATTTTGAAGAAATTGTTGTCTCTCAACTTTCTCATTTTGTTTCAATAGTGTTAAGAACTAATTGAAATTATAAAGTAGAAAACTAAACACATCAAAATGAAATGTTTCATTTAGACTTTTAGATAATACTATGTGTAGAGATATATCTATCTCTCTATATAAATTTTATACTATATTTTGATATTATTGAAACAAAAAGTTTTGATGGTCCCAAATCAAAATTTTGTGGGAAATTTTGACTTTTTACTCCAATGCAGAATGAGAAATAAAAAGTCAGAATGTCTCAGTGAATGGACATTCGGTTTTCTGACTTGCCCTATTCAGAATGTTAGGAAACCTTGGCAACAATTGACCTAGGCTGACCTTTCAGTTCGTAACCAAACATGAAACAGGGCAAGTTAGTTGTTAACATGCTGCAGAGCTTCAGTCAGAGCCATCTTGAAAATGACTGTGTCTTATTTAATATTAAAATGTCTCTTTAAAAAAAAACCCACCAAGTTTTAAACTTTGTTCACTTTGTGGAGTAATGAATATCAAAACTGTACAATCACAATCACACATGCACAGAGCTCCAGCTAGTTAATAAATAATTTAATCCATGTTGAACAAACAACCTGACTGGTAAAATTTCACAGAATATTTTATTACAAACCCCATAAATTCATATTAAAAATATTTGATGAAAAATATTATCTTGTGCTTATTTTGAGATAACTATTGTGATATTAGGCACATACAAAATATCAAATTAAACGTAAATGTGAATACTTGGCACTTGGTTTAATGAGTTTGGTATTTTCATGGGGGAGGGAAGGCTAAGCAGTGTGAAAAGTAAGTGGACAGCTGGTACCCTTTGATTGACATTACACAACTCATATCTCTTTTAATACTGCGGAGTCAGCCTTGTGTGAACCTGGGGATAAATTTAGCACATACTTGAGAAATGAAACATTTCCAAACAGGAAAAGGCATTTTAATCCCTATTCATGGAGCGAGTGGAAGAGATCAAGCAACAAAAGTTGGGTGGCCTAATGGGGAACACAAAGCTTAACCTATCCCCCAGATTCTAAGCTGATTAGTGTGCATCAATTCTCCTTTTCCCTGCCAAGTAAGAACAACGTTTAGGCAGCAGTTAACTGGTAGAAAAGGAAAACAAACTTTTGATTACTCCTCTAGTTTAAAGAAACACTTACGTGGGTTGTGGATTTCCTTTAGCTTCACATTTAATTGTAAAGTCTTCATCAAAAGGGTATGCAACTTGGGTCATGGATTGGTCTGTAATTGTTGGAACCTGTGCAACTGAACAGAGGACAATTTGATTAGATCAAGTACTATTCAAACCAAACTAAACACAGTTCAGATTATTTAAAGGGATCAAGGTTGCCAGACCCCATTACATTATCCCAGCAAACATTTCAGATTTATACATTTATACATATTCTCCTGATGATGAAAACACTCTCAGTATTCTGAAGTCAATGCTCCAAGTGTCTCAGCACCAAACGGGAGGTTGGACAGTGCTTGGCTGCAGCACTCCATGACATGGAGGGAGTATAATGGGATGGAGTAATTATATGGCTCTTGTCCTTCCCTCCTCAGACATTGATCTTCACCTGGAGCCTGATCCAAAGTCCACTCAAGTCAGTTAGTGTTTTTCCATTGATCTCAATGGGCTTTGTATCAGACTCCTGTAGAACAGTGATGGGGACTGCATGAGCAGAAAAATTCTGCTCTGCCATTCCTATGTTCTCTCCTCTAAGGCATCATAACTTGTTCTCCTATCTGAAAGCATAACGCATCAAGAGGTTGCAACATAGCTGGTGTTCCTGCTTCCACGTCCCTGCATGGCTCCAGCTCATAGAGCCATAATAGAGACCACTGTCTCTTCCAACATAAGCTAAAGATAGCAAATGTGGAGGCTAACTTTCTAATGTTCATGACTGTACTGAGCTCTTCTGAGAGTTTGTAAGTGATTTTTTTAAAGCCAGGTGACTAAAAGAAAATACTTTCCCCCTGCTCACTCCTAATGAATCAAGCAGGTGGCGAACTGCAGATAAATCAAATATGTGCAAAATACATGCAGGTTTCAATAAACTGGAATATGGATGATTATACACTTCCCAGAGAATGCCATCTATTTCAGTAATGACATTTCTGAACATAGCCATTAATATCACATACATTTTATTGCCATTAGAAATGATGAGCTCTGACTCAGAATAGAAATATTCCCACAGAAGTCAGTCAATACCTACACCTTGCTTTTGAGAGCATTAATGTTTCATGTTTTCCCAAATTTACCAAGTTTAAGGAGGAGAGTAAATGAATAGACTGGCGTGTTTTAAACTACACATAGATACACTACATGGTACATCATTGGATCCATTATGGATACATAGAGTTTTCATTCATCTGTGGCATGAGTGCGCATTGTTACTATGCAAACAGCAAATCAATGATGTTTCACTGACTTTTCTTCTATGGGAATTAAAGTGTTGAGTAAGAGACACACAACAGAGAATGTGCTCTGCACTGTAAGCTGGGATAACAGATCATCACATTGTTATACACAACACGAAAATTAGCATGTTCTCTGGTTTCATTTTTAAGTCGAACAGGCCATGAAGCTCAAAGCTCAAACAAAATGTAGTATCTTGCTGCATCATATCATGCTGAATCCCTTGCATCTCTGCTGTGTCCACCCTTTCCCACTAGCTTATAAATATTCAGACAGAATTCCTTTTTATTAAAATATAAAATGCTCTATTCAAATAAATTAAGACACAGATGGTTCCCAGAGTTGGTGCTTACATTTTGGTGAATGCACAAGGAACCTGTCCCATCCTTGGCTTCAAATGCAATCTTGTACACAGCTGAGTGCAAGGACTCCTCTTGGCTATCCACTGGGGCTATCCACTTCCGAAGGAAGGAGAGGTACTGCCTCCCTGCACTGGTATGTAGAGCTACCCAGCCATGGAAGGGAGTGTATGTTGAAACTCCTAGTAAGTGTACTCTTCCATAGCGCTGGGATTGCTGGGAGGCATGGGGTCATTCAGAGTTCTTTCTGGGGCCTGGCGGGGGGTGCCCTAAAGTGGGCCAGTGCCTTAAAGTTACAGCTGAGACCTAACATGTTTTGAAACTACTTACAGGACCCTTCTGGCTGCAGTGTCTGAGGCACAGATCCCCAAAAGGAGTTTAGGGGCCTAACTCCCATTGAGGTCATGTGAGTTAGGCTCCTAACTATGTTTGAGGATCGGGCCCTGTATGCCTAGACAAAAAAGGCCAGGTTTGTTATTTTTTTATGAATAATTGGTGAGACAATTCATCTAACAAAAATATTAATGGGATGAGATTTTTTCCAAAAGAAAACTGTAGTGTGTAATCACCCTTATTTATTTGCCTACGATGAAATGTAGTTTGGGGCTAAATCTTCCACCCTTGCTCCTTTAGTCAGCTACATAGGATTGGCCTTTTATGAGGTTCATTACATATTGTACACATGCACTGAAGAAGAACCAGCTATGTAAAATATGCCGTTTGATGTGTACCATGGCCAGACATGGTAAAGTAGGTGCTCCTGCAAGTGGCATTCAAATGATGGGAAATATTCTCCTGGGATAAAATTATTCGGACAGATCCACATATGTTCCCTTTTGAAAATGAAACAGCAGGCTGCATATAAATAAATAAATGGATATGTATATCAGACCAATTGCAGAAAGAACAACAGCCAAAAGGAGAGATTTGTGCAAAGGACGGAACTGAAACTTCTGAGCAGAACAGAGGGTAGGATCTCAAAGGTCAGTGATGTGCTATCTAGATAAGTTCACAGCAGCATCTAAATGGGCCTGAAGAAAGTAAATTACAATTGTATCATGTATAAACTCCCAAAATGCCATGTTAAGGCAGAATAAAATTCATAACGGAACACCTGAAACAGGGGAGAAAGCAAAGTGGTTTTCAGGGGAGAAGAAAGCAGAGTAAATAGTAATAAATAGCTACAGTAAATAGCTACAACTCACCTGATAATGGTATTTCAATACCTTCTGCCAAATTTAATACAAAGAAAAGCAGACATATGTTGATCCTTTTTGTGCTTAATAGTATCTCCATCTCTCTTCTGTAAACAGGGAGTCCAAACAGAATGAAAGAATGTTTTTCTCCCACCTTCAGTTCAACTGAGATGTAAGGATGTGAACTTGCAAATCTAGTAAAGAGGAGAAAGCCATATTAGCGCACAATATTAACTTGGCTTTAATGAGGTTAGTAAATTAAAGCAATGCTCAAGGGTTCAGAGCTAAAGCAAAAATGTAAACATATTAAAGGTGTATTAAATTGTACAGTTCCCCTCTTTGCTTCTGAAAGGTACTATAATAAAACTATAGCAACAGAAAAAATATAAGCACATTAATTATACCACAGAAATTTGATTACTTTTTGCTTTGATTTTGAGAGCAGGGATGGGTATATTTGTAATCATTCCAGTTCATAAATTTTTCTAATTAAGAATAGTGCTAGTTGGAAAGCAGAGTAACACATCTAATGAGAGAGATTCAGTACTCCAATGACCCTATTCATAAATCTCATATGTTCTTTATCTTTCATTTATGCTTAAAACAGGACATTTAAACAAATTTGATTCACTACTAAGGACCATCCTATGAAACCTTTGCTTTTCTTCCATAATCCCAATACGATTATATTACAGCTTTACACACACCCCACCATTATCCATCCTAGGGTTATATGTTAAAAGGCAAAAATGTCAGGAGTCTGCCAAAAGGAGAACATTTTCATCGCTAATTAGCATTTAACTGCTATTCACAGAGGAGTAAAAAGAGACAGTTCTGAAAATGCAGGTGTATAGAAAATTCTGATGGTCAGTAGTGCTTGTGGTACCTCAGCTAAATATTAACCAACACCAGGCTGATATGTTTTTTTTTAGCTATCTATGTATCTCTATCTGTGGTATTTATAGGGTACCAATCACCACTATATGCCAGATATCAAATATCAACTTTACTTAGACAGGACAATTTTCAGGCAAGAAATGACCAAGAACGAGGTAAAAGCCAGCTCAGGAACCAGCAGCAGCTCACTGCCAAACGGCAGGAAAGACAGATAGCCTATTTCCCCTGCAGAGGTTTCCCCTATGTGGAAGAAGCTGACAATCTGTTTCCTCTCTTACTCAAAGAGAGACGATAGTGAAGAAAGCCAACCAGCCAGTCTTAAAGCGCCCAAGAGGGAAAAGGGGCATAGCTGACTGACCTGCAACACCTGTGGGCAGGTGTCATAAGCCATTGGTTTATAACAGGTTAGGAATTGTGGCGAATTCAGCAGCTTTGTAAGGTTCTGACTAAAAGCTAGGTGGAAAGTAGAGATTTTGACTGAGGGAGGGAAATAATTTGGAAGTGAAAGTCAAGGAGTTTGAATGCTGGTAAAATGAAAGTGGAAACAAAATTTACAAGATTCCTGAAAATCAGAATTGCTGTTTCACATTTCAAATAATCTTTGAGAATTCCCCAGTTTATCAGCAGCATGAGAGAGACAAAGGAAGAGGCTGACTGATAAGCCTCATGCCAAAATCCTCCAGTCTCACTCTTCCGCAGAAGAGATCCACTTTTCAGAGGATGTGCTGAATTCAAGAAGTGCCAAAACCCGAGTACCAGAATAGTTGCAAGATGCCCAAAAAAGGTCCAGAACAAGGTCCCAGAGAATTCCGGCAGGACTTGAACACTGCCACTTTTAAATATTTATATGACAAGGGTTTATATTACATCCACTAACTGGTCTTTCCAGGGACTTATTTTAACAATCCAAACCATTGAGAAGCTTCAACAAGCCACCATATTTTAAATCAACATGCCACAAAAATCTCTTATTTCTTCTCTCAAATGTGAAAATTTACTTCAGATTACAGGGGTTTACAGATTACAGCATGAGCAATATTAAGTCTTGTGTTAACAGCCATAAAATTTGATCACTTATTGTCCATTGCAGCTAGGAATGGAATCTTTAAATCAGTGGAAAGAGGAGATTCCCATCTTTCCATTAGGACCTACAGCACCAGTCTTTAGGCCTGGAAGGCTCAAACATATTGAATGTTGAAGTTTGACACTTTTATGCACAAAGTTATTTTAGCTATATTTTAGAGGAGTATTGAATGTGCTATTTCTGGTTTTCATCTCACTTACACTGGTTTTACACCAGTGTAATTTCTTTGACTTCAAATGAGTTACTCTTCACCCACACTTGAGTAAGTGTGAGGAAAGTCAGGGTCATTATTTTCAGTCTCTCTTCCTACTACAGTTGGACTTGCTGAAGTAAGGGTGCCTGTCTTTACAGGTGAAGAAAAGTGATGTATTTAAAGGGAAAAAAAACCTAGAATTTTCTATACAGATTCTCCTCTTAGACCTTGCATGATGCCAATAAAACAAGTGCTGGTGTGAAGCATGAAAGCTTTATCAACACTTGTCTGAGGTAACCTGCACAGTTAATTCTAGGTTTACCATCTGTAAGTAACACAGTCATCTGACAATCAGTGCGATCAACCCTTTTATATGTCACCACATCATCATATATTCTATATATACAAGGTACATAGTCCTTTCTTAGGTTGCGACAGTCTCTCAATGGCTGCCCAACACTTACCTATGCAGTGTCAGGTTCTCTTATGTTCTCTGCCCTGCTCATCATTGTCTGACTTGTGCTTACAGGCGATAAAATCAAGACCTTTATAAGTGCTATTTATAACTAATGTATGCTCTGCATACAACTTCGGTGGTCAGAGGAACTGCAGTTTACACTGTGACAAGGCATCTCCTTTGCCTCATGGGACTCAGTGATAGGGGAGAGGGGGCTGGAGTAAATCATTCCCACTCTCGAGAGCTTTTATTCCTCACTCAAGTTTATTTTTCAATATTTACAAGGTTGGCCTGGGGTAGGCCCACGGTGTACTCTTCAGCCAAACAAAAAGAAACATCTTTCCTTGCCCCCTCTTTGGGGTGTTGCCTTCTTATGCTGGCCTCTGGATTCCAGTCCTCCCCAAACTGTCCATTAGCTCAGTTGATTCCCCCCATAGGGAGGAAAGCAGCCTTCCACCCAAGAGAAGCCTTTTCTCCCAGCTGCCACTAGCCCTTCTGCAGCTTCTCTCTTCTTTCTTTGCCCTCTCTCTCACACCAGAAAAGGGGGAGGGTGTTTAAAGGTCACAGCCCTTAATTGAGGTAACTTCTTTTCAGCTCAGGAGGAAGAGGGCCTTTACCATTCTAGGGCTGATATATCTGCCTTCCACCACTCTGTGGTAGCTCTCCGGTCTGACTTGGTCACAATGCTCACAAACATCTAACCAGAGAGTTGCTTGCCAGTTGTATGTTACTGGTAACAAACCCCAACTTTTGCATATAGTGCTCTCAAGGTCCAGTATCCATAATGACAAACTCATTGACATCTGGGAGAATGTCCAAAGTAGAGGAGCCAGAGTTGCAGAAGCATACTGAGGTAGCATGTTGGGAGGGAGACATGGAAAGGAGGTGTCCCTTTATCTGAACTGTATCAAATCTAATCGAGTTTCAGGTTAAATCCAAGGAAGATGCTAAGGTTTAGGTGGTTTCCGTTAGCCCATTAGCTCACCATACTACTCTTTATAGAGAGACAGACAGCAAGGTTTAGAGTGCAGACATGATCTTTTATCACGACTTGTCTCTCTCCAGACCACTATAATTAGTTGCAGAGTAACAGCCGTGTTAGTCTGTCTTCGCAAAAAGAAAAGGAGTACTTGTGGCACCTTAGAGACTAACCAATTTATTTGAGCATGAGCTTTTGTGCTCACGAAAGCTCATGCTCAAATAAACTGGTTAGTCTCTAAGGTGCCACAAGTACTCCTTTTCTTTTTATAATTAGTTGGTTCATCTAGCTCTCTCTTTCTCTCTCTTCTCCTGTTTTGAATACTAATGCAGAATGCTGCCTGCACCAGCACTGGGAACTAGTGAACACACTGAGATGGATGGTGCTACATTTTCTTGAGGCAATACCCAATTGCAGCTGTGTTGAGCCCATTGTCATTTTTGTTTTTTGTTTTGTTGTATGAGGTAAAACCCAGCTGAGCTGTGAATTAAGCAACAGCGTCTTTCAGGTGTATTTACCAAGTGATAAGTATCTGGCAAGATACTCGATAAGTGTAACCCATCAACAGGCAGAGTAACAGCGACATTATTTTAGTTGTGCTGTGTGTGGTTTCTATCAAACTATTATGACCAAACTGCTTCCCATCCTTGTAAACTCAATTCTGATTTCAGTCTGGGAGTGTGTCTGATCTCAAGGCTTATCAGACCTTCACATATAGGAAGTAGTACACTAGGCTAGACTGTCACTATCTTTATACACTCACACAAGGAAGTAAAGGAGCATAGAGTGTCCCCTGCCACTTTTTCAGGGGAGCTACCCACACCAAAGGGTGCAGGGAAGGAGACGTAACGATGCCACTTCCTCACATCCCTGCACTGGTTGGGTGGGGAGGGATCAGAGGAGCTTAGGAATGGGCACAGCCTTGGCTCCATCACCTCTCCAGTGTGCTGGCTCACGTACCTGAACCGACATGCTGGGTGCAGGCCTAGAGCAGGTTCCTTCTTCCCCAGAGCAGGCGGGGGAAGATGGGGAGGCAGGTTCTGACTCTCCAAATAACAGTAGGCTTCCTGGGTTGCTCCTGGGGCAATGTAATTGCCTTGCCCCTTGCTTAAGGCAGTTTTCAAAGTGATGACCTAGTCCTGGGTGAGGTTCTCCTTAGGGGTGAAGAATTTGACTCTGTTCTGCTGTCTATTTGCAGCCACTCTTGCACAGTAGCAGGTGTCAAGTCTAAGAAAGGATCAAGAGCTAAGTATCTCAGTGTGACAGGGCTAGCTCTTAAAAGCACGTCTTCTCAGACATGCCCTTCTCAATCTTTGCCAGGCCCAATTCTGCACTGAGCTCTGAACAGTAAGATAGTGGTCAAGCAGGGAGGTTAGGACATATGTCTGCTCAGGGAGGGAGCAAATGATTCACCTTACTAAAGCTGCCAAGTAGACCAGGCTGCCAAGTATTAGGCAATTTGCATGGATGTCGTGCAGTAAGCAGCCCTGTCATGTTTCAGGCCCACTGCTAAGCTAGATATCATCAGCCCCTCCCCACCTACCTTCTAGCACCCACCAACCTGAACACTCCAGTATCCATCCA